GTGGCCTCAACAGCTAGAGCTAAACCAATCCCAAGCCAGGAGCCAGGAGCTTCCTCTGGGCCTCCCCTGTGGGTGCAGGATCCCAAGGCCTCCCACATAAGTACAGGGTCCCGAGACTTTGGACCGTTCTCTAGGGAGCTGGATGAGAACTGGAACAGTCGGGATACAAACTGGTGCGCAAGTGGGATCCTGGTGCTTTTTAAGGTGAGGATTTAGCCAACTGGATTGTGCCTGGCCCTAACTCTCCCACTTTTGAGAATGTCATGTTTGGTTTGTCTTAGTTGACTAACATGTCCCATGGGTGGGTTGTAACCGGCAGATTTCACGCGTCTATTGGCTGAACACTCCCTGGTACCAGTCGTGTTGGGGTGGATTTGCCTGATTTGTTCCGGTGAAAGGGCAATGTTGAGGTGTCATGGGGTACCTTGTGATAGTTACCACTGGGGTTTGCATCTTCACACCACATGAATTGGTGAGGGAATGACTTTTTGAGCCACTTCTAGAATATTCTTCGAGAGCCTTCCCACTGAGACTTCGTACTGTGTCCTCACATAAAGAAACCATCTCTTCTTTTCCCTCAGAACTGACACTGTCACTTTGGTGACTGGCTTGGATTGGCTAGGGTTGTCATTGAGCTGTTGTCCAACCGCAGGAGCAAGTTCCACTTTTCCAGGAGTCTATTCATCTTGGCCAGGGGTTTTCGAAGCCAGGGCACAGGGACAACTTATCCCACTGCAGGCTGAGTGACGTCATGTTCAGATGGGATCATCAGATACTAGGGCCTGCTCTGGATTTCACTGAATAAGGTCAGCTTTTGATAAGGGCTCCAATCATTGTGCTGTTTGGATACCCACAACCTACATACATTTAAATTGCCTTGTGTGGGTTTTCATTTTCCCCTTCAAAAACTCTTTAAAGGATACCTGAGTTCAATTCCTGGCTCCAAGTCCTTATTCCAGCTTCCTACAGTGCAGACCCTAGGAGGCAGCAGGCCACCCATGTGGGAGGAGTCTAGATTGAGCGCCTGGCTCCTGGCTTCTGCCTGGCATAGCCCTGGCTGTTGTGGTCATTTGGGGATTGAACTGGAAAGCAGAAAGAAAGATATCTCTGCTTTTCAAATAAAAATCTATCACGCTTTGTTTTTTATCATAATTTTGATATTAAATATTTTTAGACCAGCTAAATCCCTTTGGCATACAACTAAAGGAATCAAAATACATCAGGCAAATATAGAAAAAAAATACACCAGGTACAGACAGCTTCAACTACATGATTCTTTTGAGAAGCTAGTTTTTGAGTCTAAACAGTTTTTCTATTCTGAAACATCCAACAGTACAAAACTGTATAAACAGGGAACTGTTGTTGTAGCTTGAATATGATTCCCGCAATGGTCATGAATGTTCCCTGTGAGTTCACTCTGCTTTTCTGAACAAACCCAAAGGTCTCCATGATTTATGCACCTGAAGGCCATCTCCTAGCAACAGCCTAGGAGAAAAGCATTAGGAAGCTTTCTCCAGGCAATTAGTCTTCCTGGTTGGTAGTTCATTTGTTTACTTCTGGGAAATACACAGCCCCACACCATGGTAGGAATTACGAGTATATTTTCCAAGAGTTTTTAGATTTGGGTAGTAGTGTTAGGTTTCAAAAGTTGTCTGGAGGCTTAAAAACAATGTTAAGGGGAAAACTACTGTTTCACAGAAACTTTTGCTTGTTAACTATAAATAGCACTTTTTGAAAAGTCTGTTTTAAGATTTTTATTTCAGATGACTTCTAGATTTATGAGATGTTCTCAAGACACACAGAAATATCCCTGCTTCTCCAATCTCAGCCCCGCGAAAAATGGATATTTGAAAGCAAGCATAAGGACTGAATGGGCTGTTTCTGTTCTAGCCCAGAAGTCCTAGTGCAAGAGCGCTATGTGCCTGGTTCTGCCACAGAATGGGCTACCAGGGCAGGTGGGCACTTCAGGGGCACCAGGCAACACTGTGGCTTTCTAGACTCTCATTTCTTTCAAACTATCAAAGTTCAGAGAGACCTAAGTTTAGGGAAATTGTGGGATGAGTGAGCTTTTAGTGGGGACTGTGCGGCAGGACAAAGAAGCCTTGTTACTTTTGTTTCTGCTTTTCCCCTTATTCTCTAGCTCCTTGCATTTCAAGGGGGAGAGACACCCCCCTTTTTGTTGTTGTTCCTTTAGTCCACGTGCAGTGAGGGACTAGGTCATCTCTTCAAGATCATGTTTTTGAGAAGTAGGGAACAGATGAAAGGTTTAAAGTCATTTGTTTTAAGCATATAAGGTTATTCTCCAGAAAAAAAAGTGCCTTAATCTGACATCTTGTCTGGTTGAGAAGGAAAGTGAAGAAGATGCAAAGGGAAACAGAAAGATGCAAAGCAAACACATTTGGGAAAGAAGGCCTAGGGCTCCTGGCCTGCGGTGAGCTTTGAGGAGCATTTTGAGTTGGAAATCAATTCATGTTCACTTGCTCATCTCCCTAGTTCTTATCTTTTCACATTGGAACTCGTTGTCCCTGCAAAAGGCAAGGCTTAAATCACCTAGCAGGTAGAAGTCAGATGGCTTTAACTGGATCCCTGCTACCCCATGGGAGACCTGGACTAAGTATCCAGCTTCCAGCTTTGCCCTGGCCTAGCCCTGAGCCACTAAAGGTATGTGGAGGAATCAACCAGCAGAGTGGATAGATGGGAGCTTGCTGTCTGTTTCAAATAATAAAATTTTTAGAAAAGGTCTTGAAAAAAGACTGATAGCATTTTTCCTTAGCTTAAAAAAAAAAAAAAAAAGACTTACTCAGTTACTTGAAAGCTGGATTTAGAGAGGGGAGAGACAGATTTTCCACTGGTTCACTCCCCAAACGGCTGTAACTATTGAAGCTGGGCTGGTCTGAAACAAGCAGCCAAGAGCTTCTTTTGGCTTCTTCCACAGCAGTGCAGGGGCTTTTACTTGGACCACCTTTCTCTGCTTTCCCAGGTACATTGGCAGGGAACTGGATTGGAAGTGGAGCAACTGTGATTTCAACTGGTGTTCACATGGAATGCCAGCATTGCAGGCAATGGCATTATGTGCTGGCTTGCTTTTTTTCTTTTAAATTTTATATCATTTTATGACATAGTTTCATAGGCTCTGAAATTCCCCAGCCCCTCCCCAAACCTTCCCCCCATATTGAATTCCTCCATATTGATACAGTAGTGCAGTTCATAACCAGTCATGATTCCTTCATTACAAGCATGGACCATGCGGAGAGTCCAGCCCTTTCTTAATCTTTGGATTCTTTCAACCTTCTGACACTTTTGATTCTCCTCTGTTACTGCACTTTTTTTTTTAAGTTGTATCCTTTTTGCTTTTTATTATTATTATTATTATTATTATTATTATTATTATTATTATTGGAAAAGAGGATATACAGAGAGGAGAGACAGAGAGGAAGATCTTCCGTCCGATGATTCACTCCCTAAGTGACTGCAACGGCCGGGGCTGTGCCAATCCAAAGCCAGGAGCCAGGAACCTCCTCCGGGTCTCCCATGTGGGTGCAGGGTCCCAAGGCTTTGGCCCATCCTCAACTGCTTTCCCAGGCCACAAGCAGGGAACTGGATGGGAAGTGGAGCTGCCGGGGTTAGAACTGGAACCCATATGGGATCCCAGCGTGTTCAAGGTGAGGACTTTAGCTGCTAGGCCACGCCGTTGAGCTCACCTTTTCTTTTTTGTGGGTTATTTATCCTGTCTCTTAAAAATAGTCTTGGTGTGAGCTTTTGGTACGACAAAGAAGCTGCTACCTGGAATACCTGCCTCCAATATGGAGTGTCTGGGATTGAGTGTGGGTTCTGTTCTGCTTGCCAACTTCCTGATAAAGTGCACCCCAGGAAGCAGCAGGTGTTGGCTCACCTACATTGGCGCCCTGGCATTCGTATGGGAGACCTAGACTAGACTCTGGGCTTCTGACTTTGAGATTGGCCCAGGTCTGGCTGTTGCTGGCATTTGGGGATGAACTAATGGATGGGAGCTTTGTCTCTTGGCTTTTCAAATAAATGAAATAATTGGGACAGGCATTTGTGAAACAGTTTATGTGGAATGCCCACATTCCAAACTGGAGTTTGATTCCCACCCCCAATTTACTTATAGTCTCTCGCATGTTCCTTGGCCTCTCTATTCCTTTCCTTAGCTTCAGGTCTCATGTTCATAAGTTGATTCCCAAATCTCTTTCCTGAGTCCTAGTCTTTCAATTTCAGTTGAGTAAATGTTTTCCAACAGATGCTTGGGAAAATCTCAAACTGCCTGATTGTCATGGCAGATTCAGAACATTTATGATGTTGCTAGGAAGAAAGGCAATATGACTCAGCTTACATTTCTAGCTTTATGATTCACTTTGATCCTGTAGAGGTGTTGAACATGATCCAACAAGAATCACTAAACTGATGCTTTTCCATGCCTTATGCTTTTCTTCTTACATGGTTTTGCCCCATGTCTCCATGCTAACTGGGAAACCTTTCTGCTTTTTCCGATCTTCAGATCTTTCAAATCTCCCCGACCAAGAAAGTATGCATTTGTAGTAACAACACCTGATGAAGGATTAGACAGTCTACTTTTGTCATCTCGATTTTTAGACAATGCTTGAACTTCATATAGCTTTCTGTATTTTAAATTTTCTGCATTTTAAATAATAGTAATCTCATCTCTACTTTTCTATAAGAGAAAAAGAGTACTTTGAAAGCTGTGCACTGCTTTTATAAGCATTGTCTGACCCGAGTTCTGGTTAGCAGTGGTGCCTTTCTTGATGAAATCCTGTCTTGCTGGTAGTGACAGGTACTATAACAATTCTAAAAGAAGACCATAAGGCAAAACTTTTCCTTGCATAGTTTCTATCATTGTGTATATAATCGTGTTAACAGATTCTGAAGGAAGACTGATAACAGCTAACTTTGGTTCACTAATCCCACACAGTTGATGCTGTGTCCGTTTTATCACTTGTTCCCTCTTCGGATCTGCCATTTAGGTGATGTCTTTCCAGTGGAAATGGCCCCAATAGCACAGTCTCAGTTTGTGCCTTTGGCTGAAGTCCTTTGCTGTGCTGTGTCTGATATGAATGCAGCTCAGACTGTGGTCACCCAGGAATCACTTTTGGAGCATCTGATGAAAAATTACCCAGGTGGAGTAATTGGCGTTTTTCTATTTGCAGTTTATTGTATGTTTTGGTTTCCGTTTATATAAAAAGCAAACATGTAAATTATGTGATATATTTTAAACAATTTTCTACCTTAGACTCTCTAGAAAAAGGCTTACATTAATAAATTCAATAACAGTATTTCTTTTGCTTTCCAGATGGACTTTTTCTAAAATTACATGCTTATAGCAATAAAAAACCAGACTCTGCTGAAAGGAATAAAAAACACAAAAACATTCATATCCCTCTTCCATTTTTCTGCTTTTTTTTAATCCCAGAAAAGGCAACTGCTATTCATATTTTCTTGTTTGCTTTCATGAATCATGCTTGAATGTCATTTTGATAATATAAATTGGATTGTTCCTTTGTACTTTTTTGAAGCTTAAAACCCTTATCTTTGCAATCATTCCATACCAGCATATTTTAATCTCATTTTATAAAATAGCTGCATGACAACCTAATACATGATTAAGGATTTTAAAATATTTTTATTGCACAGCCAGGTGTATATATAGAGGAGGAGAGACAGAAATATTTTCTGTCTGATGATTCACTCCCCAAGTGACCACAATGGCCGATGCTGCGCCGATCCAAAGCCAGGAGCCAGGAACCTCCTCCGGGTCTCCCACGCAGGAGCAGGGTCCCAAGGCTTTGGCCCATCCTCAACTGCTTTCCCAGGCCACAAGCAGGGAACTGGATGGGAAGTGGAACTGCCGGGATTAGAACTGGTGCCCATATGGGAACCCCGGCACTTTCAAGGCGAGGACTTTAGCCGCTAGCCCAAGGATATTTTTGATTCCTTTAGTTCTACTTAAGTTTGTATTATCTCATGTTTTTCATTATTAGTATACTTATAGAAAAATCGAGAAAATATACAAAGTAACTGCTCATAATGTTTCAATTTTTTTCCATACCAACATTTTAAATGTTATTTTTCTCATTTTGAGCCCTGCTATTTGGAAAGTGAAATTTCTTTTAACATTGTTTATCTTTGGCTTTGACAAATGACCTCATCTAGATGGTGAATAGTCTTTCTTCATCCAAGCACAGACTGGTTTCCATCTTAAAATTCTTACAAACATTGAGTCCACTGGACTGGTTTTCAAAGGCTTTCTGTGTTTGCCCACTAAGAAGTTTAAATATTTAATGGGTTTATATTTGAGTGAATTCTGACCTTTTTTGTTATTTAATCATTAATCTATCATGTGTCTTTCTGTGGGCCAAGTTATATTCCTTTTATTTAATTAAATTATGGCTATGGTTTATGCTTTTGATCTTTTAATTATATATATTAACTGTGCTAAATCAGGTCCGAGTTTATCAAGAGCTCGTGTTGTTTCTGACTTACTGATTTCACTCAAACTTCTTCTGACTTAGAATCTATCGGTGTCCAATGCTTCCTTGTTTAGGCATCACCATCCCATCCCAAGACATTCTCTATACCACTCTGGGAGCTCTGATAAAAGACAGGAAGATTTATCACACAGGGGAAGGCTACTTCATCGTGACTCCTCACACTTATTTTGTCACAACTACAACCACACAAGAAAACCGGGGAGTCTCCCTATCTGGTGGCAGTCGCCCAGGTCCAACTTCCCTGACTTATCTGGTGAGCGTGGAGGGCTGCACAGGTGCAACCAATGAGAATGCTGCCCTTGCTTTCCATTGCCAGTCATGCCAGTGTTTCCCTGATGTGTGCACTCGGGATGTTGAAGAACCACCACCTGCTACGGAAGTGACTAGAAAATGCCAGAAAGATTTCGGGCAATCCAAACCATTAGTGCAGAATCAAGCAGTTTCAGTGTCTGAGGAAAATGATGTCTGTGACAGCACCAAACCTTTACTGTACTCAAAAGACAAAGAAAAAGGCAAGAAGTTTGGTTTTAGTCTTTGGTGGCGCAGCATATCCAGAAGGGAGAAGCCCAAAGCAGAGTACAGCAGTTTCTCTGCCCAGTTTCCACCTGAAGAATGGCCTGTCCGAGATGAAGATGACTTGGACAATATCCCTCGAGATGTTGAACATGAGATCATCAAGAGAATTAACCCTGTTTTGACTGTTGACAACTTAAACAAACATACTGTCCTAATGCAAAAATACGAAGAACAGAAAAAAATTAACAGCCAGGGCACTTGCACTGATGTGCTGACAGCCAGGCAGAAATATCCTTCGAGAGACAGAGTTAGGCCAAGGCAGGGTCGGCCTGCAAAGCCCCACAGGCGGAGCCATTCACACAGGGACAGACACAAAGTAAGGAGTCAGGGCAATGAACTCAGGCCAGCTCACAGAGCCGAGCAGCACCCTGAGCTCCCTGCTCCACAGCCCACTCCCAGAACCAAAAGCCCAAACGAAACAGAAGAACGGACGCAACTAGGTGAGAATTCAACAGTGCCAGGCTCCCATCCGATTTACAAAAAGCGAATCAGTAACCCTTTTCAGGGGTTGTCTCTCCGAGGGAGTCCAGTAACCAAAGGACATAGCATTCACAAGACCAGCGACATGAAACTCCGACAGATTGGTCCAAGGGAAAGAAGGGAAAGACCTCTCCAAAGGTCACAGTCTTGGGACTCCTTGGGACTCTTTGATGGTGAAGCCAAACAGCTGTGCGCTGGGCACACTGATGAAAAATTATGGGGAGAATCCATTCATGTGAATAACTCTGCTGTCAAGCCCATCAGGGATGGGTACAGAAACATCCTCTTAAATTACTCTCAGTCTCATCTTTTACGAAGAAACGGTAGTACATGCTGTTCCTTTAGGGAAAGCAGGTCAAAATATAATGCGTATGGGGAAGAAAATGACCTGATCCCAGATGCATTCAACAGTCATGCTTGCTTTGACAAGTCAGGGGAAACCAAAGACACACAGCATATCCCACCCTCACCAAATCTCTCCTCTTTGGGCCAAACACGCACTGCTTCCAGATTGGTGGATCAAACGATACACCAGTTTCAAAATCTTGGCCTTTTGGATTACCCAGTTGTTGCAAACCACTTGCAAGAACCTGAGCAAGACAGGGACTCTGAAGAACCAACTAGGATAGCATTTGTCCAGGATGCAGAGACTGGGAGTCTGGAACACAGAGGGCTTCCCGACGATGCTCAGGCCTTGTCTCAGGATGAGGTGGAGGGGGAGGATGGGGCCTGCAGTTCATTGTATCTAGAGGATGATGACTTTTCTGAGAATGATGACTTCTGTCAAATGCTGCCTGGCTGCATGCAGTACCCCTTATCAGGCAGAGGCAAGTGCAATTATTTAGAAAAGCAAAAAGTGACGGAGAGGTCTCTGAGTGAGCATAACAGCAATACAGACAGGTTTGTGCCTCAGATGAATGCAAAACATGAGGATTGTAAACCCACCGGGTTGCTCACAAACCCAGGCGAAAGCCAAAAACCTGATCTGTCTGCAGAAACCCATGGGTTAAATTCAGGGACTCCGTTTGGTTTTAACTGTGAAGAGGAACCTGGTGTGGCTAACTGTTCACAGGCCCCGGCACCTGCTGATGGAATTGTGTTTGGTTACTGCAATGCCAGGAAAGCCACTGCTGAAGCTGAAAGCCTTGGAGACCTTGACAGTATCGGAGAAGTGAACACAGCCAGCTGGAGCTGGAGTGCACAGACTCAGGAAACGAGAAATCGTTTCAAACAGAAGGTTGAGCTTTTCAATGGATCGCACATGCCAGTGCTGGCTCCGGATGTGCAACATGAACACAGTCACCTGGAAGGAACAGAAACTCGCAGTGTGGCGGGAGACAGTGGAATAGATTCTCCACGGTAAGTGCTTACAAGTGTTTGAGGAGCCACTGACACATAGGCAGTGTTCAAATCTAAGGTACATTGGGTTATGTGGTGGGGAACTCTTGCATATACGGACATATGCAATTCTGTCAACCTTTATGAATAACTTAAATATAAAGTCACAAAGTATTCTTTCATAATAGTGGAGTTCGTTTTCAATGTGAAATACAGTTTACTAATAACACCAAGTATTTCGAAAGATAAGAACTGCTATAAACCAAGCATTTTCTGAACTAAGGGATGTAACTTTTCATGTTCACTTATAAATGGACCTGAACAGTTTACTGTAACTTGTTTCTAAAAATTTATTTATAAAAGTAGTAAGTTCTTTATGGGGAAACAACAAAAAATTTAAAAGTTCTTAAAGTATTTTAAACATCTATAATAATATTACCATCTAGATTTTCTAGAATTATATTTGGTATATTTATAACACTCTAGACTGAACATATAATTTTATCTACTGGACACATACTGAGTTGCTATTTTTTTTAAAAGATTTATTTATTTTTATTACAAAGTCGGATATACAAAGAGGAGGAGAGAGAGAGAGGAAAATCCTCCTTCCAATGATTCACTCCCCAAGTGAGTGCAACAGCCCGAAGCCAGGAACCAGGAACCTCTTCCGGGTCTCCCACAAAGGTACAGGGTCCTAAGGCTCTGGGCCATCCTCAACCGCTGTCCCAGGCCACAAGCAGGGAGCTGGATGGGAAGTGGAGTTGCTGGGATTAGAACCAGTGCCCATATGGGATCCTGGTACGTTCAAGAAGAGGATTTTAGCCGCTAGGCCAAGCCACCGGGCCCCAGCTATTTTTTTTCTTTAGAAGATTTATTTTTATTGCAGAGTCAGATATACAGAGAGGGTCCTAAGGGCTTGGACTAGCCTCCCAAGGCATTGCTTTCCCAGGGCATAAACAGGGAGCTGGAACAAAAGTGCAGCAGCCAGTACTTGAACTGGTACCTGTATGAGATGCTAGCAGTATACATGGAGACTTAGCCTGTTATGCCACTGTGTCAACACATATATAGAGAGTAGACACAGAAATATCTTCCATCTACTGCTTCCCTCCTCAAAGGCCTCAATGGCTGAAGCTGAGCTGATCTGAAGCCAGGAGCCAGGAGCTTTTTCTGGGTTTTCACGTGGGTGCAGGATCCTAAGACTTTGGGCTACCCTGCACTGCTTTTTCAGGTTATAAGCAGTGAGCTGATGGGAAGTGAAGTAGCCTGGACATGAACCAGTACTCATATGGGATCCCAGCACTTGCGGGGGGAAGGATTAGCCAACCGAGTCATTTTACCAGGCTGTAAAAATATATTTTTAACAACAAATCAAATATTGCTCTCTTTTTTTCACTCAACATATAGAAATCCTGCAATCAAAATATATGTCTAGCTTTCTCTTTTTAATGGCTACTCATGATTTTTTGGCCCCCTATTATTTATATAATTGCTTTCCCTTTTTTGACAGATTATTTCCAGTTTTGTTATTAATCTGTAGTAAATTGTCTTATATATAAATATGGGCATTTCCAATTTAAGCTAAATTCGTAGGAGTAAACTTTTTTTAAAAAAAAAAACCATTCCTTTCTTGTTGGACAACAAGTTATTTTCTACTTGAACCAGTAATTTGATTTATATTAAATCATTAAGTCAAAGCATGTTTTCTCCAGAAGTCAAGAGTGGTGGTGTAAAACCAAGCCACAGATTTGTTTTGCTTTCGGGCAAAACCAAACCAAACAGTAGATTAGGGAAATTATTCCTTTACATGTAATTTTGAGAGTTTTAATTTGTAAAGTCTTCAGAAGAAAGGGAAGGGAAAATAACATTTGCATAGCAATACTGCTACAGTTATAAGGATACAAGTGAACAAGCAAGTGTTATTATCCACAAAAACCTCACACTACAGCAAAGAGGGCAACAGTGCCAAGGCGAACTAAGAAAAATGGAAGCTCTCCCGAAGTGTACAAGAGCTGTGGAGTTAGGAGTGATAGGTTATGTGGGGGAAAATTGGAGGATACATTTTTTGATCTGTGCCAATGTAATAAGTAGACCGATGGTGAGTAGCCACTGTGGGAAAAGGGGGGACATAAAGAGCCCGTGTCAGCAGACACGCCATCTTCCAGAAGCAAGGCAGATGTGTTCGATAAGGGCCTATTCTTGCTTAACTTGCAGCTGCCAGGAAAAAGAACTGTCAATAGAAGAAAACGTAGCAGTTGGCTTTTCCCTTCCGTGTAACTTCTCGTAAAAGTCATAACTTACACAGGAACATATGAGCCACTTTAGATGCATAAAAAGGTTTTTCAGGGAAGTGTTAACTATTTCCAACTAGAGTATCTTTGCTGTTGGATCTGAGAACAGGTCTTGTCCTGAATATATGGGCTAATTTTTGACAGCAGATAATTAGGGTGCTTTTGTGAAGCCTTTATGATCTGAGCATCTTAGATGTTTAAAGGGGAGCTTACTGCATTAAGTGTACCTTAGTCATGAGTTGTTTCAGAGTAACAAATGAATGTATAGTGCCTTGATTAGAAATCCAGGTTCTTTTTGAAGGTAATAATTCTGTTATTTTTAATATCTTTAGGACACAGAGCCTGGCATCTAATTCGGTCGTTTTGGATGGATTGAAAAGAAGGCAGAATTTTCTACAGGAAGGCACGAACAGCAGTCAGACACCGACATCCAGTTCCTTGCTACAGCTAACTCCTGTCATAAATGTTTAATCTTCTTTTGAAACTGTTACGTTTCGTAAAAATGTAAAACATTACTAATCTTTCAGCTGAGTGTGTAAGAACCCTCTAAGGTTAAGCTTATGGACTATTAACCTCATTACGTATTTTGTTCTAATTAAGGGATTTTTCCCTTTTGATAGTTTAGATAATTTGAAAGCTTATTTTTACTAGGAATATATTGGGAACTATAGGTTATTTACAATAAAAATATTGAATTATTGGTTCTCTTCCTATAATTGAATTTTCTGATATTCATTAGTTTATACATAGGATACTATTTTACTACCTAATAGTAAATTTCTTTACATAAGCTAATTCTTTTTTAAAGGAACCATCTCTTGCTATGTTCTCCTTGGAAGATTATGAATGTTCTTGAAATAGATTTATTTTTATTGGAAAGGCAGATTGACAGAAAGATCTTCCATCCACTGATTCACTCCCTAAATGGCTGATTGAACTGAGCTGACCTGAAACCAGGAGCCAGGAGCTCCAAGTCTCCAGTGTGGATTCAGGGTCCCAAGGCCTTGGGTCATCCTCTACTGCTTTCCAAGGCCACAAGTGGGGAGCTGGATGGGAAGTGGAGCAGCCGGAATGCAAACCAGTGCCATATGGGATCCTGGCACTTGTAGGGTGGGAGATTAGCCATTGGCTGCAGCCACTGCTACAGGCCCTACATACACTTATTATGAAGATCTCACCAGATTTCATCACACATTTCAGAAAAATGCAGGTCTTAAGAGTTGCACAGGTACTGTCTAACTATGTAGGCTTTTGTTATAGGAAGTGATTCATATAAATTTATATGAATGTATATGTTGGCTACTTTACAGCAGGCATTCTTTCCATCTAAACATTGCTGCTTGCAATCTTCCCTTTGACCAGCTTGAATATGAACAGATGGCTCCAAATGTGACTGGCAATGTCCGAAATGCCACAAGTAGTGGCCATCTGCTTCTCTGTGTTCCCCCCGCATTTCATGCTCTGTCCATAGCTTTCCAGTGAGTCAGAGGCTGGGGATGGAAGGGAAATAGAATGGTCCCACTGGCCTCTGAATCAAATGGAAAGCAACTAACACATTCATTTATGTAGACATTCATCTCCATTTGATCCTTTTCCTCTTGTGATGAGACCTTGCTAAGCTCAGCCAGAGTTTTTTCCTGTCAGATCTTTTTAGACAAAGTGGTGAGATGGTTAATTCTCTTGGGTTTGGGAACATGGAGCAAGCAAAGCTGTTAGATGAAGATCAGGTAGATGAAGACACTGACTTGTGGTCAAAGCCTAGATCTCAAGGATGGTGGAATGACTGAAGTGTCTCCAGTTCTAGTGAGTGAAGGCCAGTGTGAAGCTTAGCACCAGGCCCTGTGGCGTGCAGACAAGCAGAGGTCAGATTCACTGCTTTGTTCAGTGGGCCCTGGCCACCCTACCACTGTGTCCTAAGATCAGCTATGGGTCACAAGAACATCTGAAGCATGCTCAAAAAGGAAGCTGCCTGGCACAGCGGAGATTCATGAGCGAGGTAGAGGTATCACCTCCAGCGAATGAAAGTTAGGAAAAGAAAGATCTCTTTTTAGTATTGAAGAACTTCCTATTAGATTCAATTACCTTGCTTGCTTCAGCAGCACGTATACTAAAATTGGAGTGATACAGACTGAGCTACCCAAAGATGAAAAATAATGTTCTCATTACTTAGCACACTCATGGAGAAGTTTACAGATCCCTTTACTGTTACAGATCATTTCTGGTATATACCAACAGGGTGGCTGCACTTGGTATTTTTCAAGGATCCTTCCAACTCCTCAGCCTCAAGCTTATAATAGTCAATGAAGATCTTGTATAATATTTAGCTCATGTAGGATTCCTGAAGGTTGCTTCCCACTCTCCTTTTCTGTACTTGTCCCTGTCAATCCTTGGCAAAAGGAGCACCAAGAGACATGTTTCAATTTTTATTTTGGACTAGGTGAAGTTTTGCAATTTATAGTCCTTTGTGGTTCTCATAACATCTAGGTGCCAGTGAAAACCATCTGATTTTGGCACTGAATGCAGTGTGATACTAACTGGATATGTTAAATGGAGCCTGTTATTAAACTAATGAATAATAACTTCCTTCTTCCTACAAAACTCATAATCACAGATACTAAAAATGGGAATGTTTGCTAGTAAACTATTGTTTTGAGAACTGATTCTCTAAAATAGGTAATCTGCATGTTTTTTCCCCATAGTAACTTTAATGGAAATTTGAGCTTTTGGTTTCTCCATTGCCACCTGTTCTCAATCGGGTAACTTGAGACAGCTTGATGATCAATAGCTTTGGAATCAGTCACATTTGAACCCAAACTCCTCTCCTTGTTAGGTGTTTGATGGGGCAATTCACCACACTTCTCTGATTTAGTTTATCATCTGAACAATGGGGATAACGGGCTGGTGCTGTGGTATAGTAAGTTAATCCTCTACCTCAAGTGCTATCATCCTGTATGGACACTGATTTGTGCTCTGGCGCCTCCACTTCTGACCCAACTCTCTGCTTATGGCCTGGGAAAGCAGCAGAAGATGGTTTGGGTCCTTGGGACCCTGTATCCACATAAAAGACCAGAAGAAGCTTCTGGCTCCTGGCTTTGGCTTGGCTCAGCTTTGGCCATTGTGAGCACTTGAGGAGTGAATGAGAGGATAAAAAACTTCTGTCTCTCCTCTCTGTAATTACAGCCTGCCTTTCTAAATATTAAAAATTAATATTTTCTAAATATTATAAAGCAATTTCTAAAAATAAGGATAGTAAGTATCTAAGATTATAGAATCATTCAGAGAAGTGGTAGGTAATCCAAACTACATAAAGTATGAAGTACCTAATATTATAAATACATATATTTTAAAAAATATATAGCCATGGGCCAGGGCAGCAGCCCAGTGGCTAGTCCTTGCCTTGCACACACTGGGATCCAATATGGCACCAGTTTATGTCCCAGCATCCCTGCTTCCCATCTAGCTCCCTGCTTCTGGCCTGGGAAAGCAGCTGAGGATGGCCCAAAGCTGTGGGACCATGCACCTGCGTGGGAGACCCAGAAGCAGCTCCTGGCTCCTGGCTTCTGATTGGCACAGTTCCAGCCATTGCAGCCATTTGAGGGATTGAATCAACGGATGGAAATTTTTCCTCTGTTTCTCCTCCTCTTTATATCTGATTTTCCAATAAAAATAAACCTTTTAAAAATTTAGTCACAAAAGTTGTCTAGATATATGCAGGCTCCTCTAAAAGTCCCCTATCTTTGCCAGGTTGTCTGGAATTTAACCATTAAAGATTTTAGTCCATTTCAAAAAATATCATCCATCAAAATCCAGGTATGTCTAAGAGGGTAGTATGGATTTGGTTATCAATTAATATCTAATTCCATAAACAGTAAGAAAACAAAGTATTATTGTAGACCTACAACACCACGCATTCTCTCATCAGTAGAGTCCTCAGTAACTGAGCTCTCTGCAAGCTACTTTCAGTACTTCAAAAATTCTCAGGGAAACTATCATTTCCTTTGCCCAAGTCTTCATTGCCTAAAGCATCAGGTTGATTTGCCAGTAGTTGGAATGATGCAGCTCAGTAATGCAGCACTATCCCGTGCTGGTAGAATACTATGCTATTCATCTATGCTACTATGTTCATCTATGCTATATTGATTAGAATGATCATCAATCAATCATTATGAAGTGCAGTCTAGCAGCTAAAATGTCAGGTCCATAAGGAAAAATAATGGCAATCATGAGGAAAAGCAATGGAAAGAACCTCAGAGGAGTGAAGTATTGGAACTACTGCCTTTTGAGAACCTCTTAAGGCTATTGTAGAATGCGGAAGACAAGAGATTGCCTAAGGAACGAAAAAAAAAAAAAAAAGAAACGAGAACAGGCAGACCGAAGACAAGCTCATTGCCACCGTGTTGGCTTCTTAGAGGTATTTTACCCTTCTGAAACCTTAAGCAATCTCCCCTCTAGAGAAGGCATCTCCAAACATTTCTGGGGAATGGTGCCCTCTCCTGGGAGAACTGATGTTAACAACCCTCTCCCTGGTGGTGGTGGATTCCTCCTCCTCTGTTCCTTATGTAATTGACTAAAGGGAGAGGGACAACTCCCACCCCAGGTTCAACATTTAAAAAGCCATTCCCAAGGATTTGAATTGGAAACTCCATAAGTATGTTTGTGTCCAAAGAGCTCCTCTGCATTCAAAACCTCAACTCAATGGGAAATCCCTCTGTACCTCATGTTTTAAGATTTATTGAAAGAGTTGGAGGGACGCACACATACACAGACATCTTCAACCCACTGTTTCACGCCATAGATGGCCTCCATAATCAAGGTTGGGGCAGACTGAAGCCAGGAGTTTCATCTGTATTTCACACATGGGCCATCTTCTAGTGCTTTCCCAGGTCCATCAACAGGGAGCTGAATTGGAAGGGGAATAGCCACTAATTCTTCTAGTTGCTTGAGGTAATATGATGTACATTGAAAAACACAGGTAGTATGGGGCTCAAACTTTCTTTTTCAGTGAAAAGTCAGTCCTTGTTCAAGTTGACTCACGTGTCAGTTTACACCTTGTCCTTCCTACAGTTGTCCACAGTCAGGTTCTGTGAGGTTAGGGCATAGAAAGCCAAGAGACTGCAGGGCTTAAGTCATTGTGTAAAATGCTAGTGAACAGATTAGTCACCCAACAGGGATGAGTGTGTGTGGTCTTTCCCTTTCCAGATGTGTTTTAGGATCTCTGATACATAAGTGAATTTCAAAACTTATTTTTGCATTCTTTTTTTTTCTTTATTTTTGACAATCTTTACATAGTTAATTAGGGCAAAAAGATTCAAGGGCTACAGGAAAGTGGGTCAGACTATTATTTCCACATTGGTTTTTTTTTTCATGTATCTGGGGGAAAGGGAGATTTTAAGGGAGAAGCCCCACCTAGTCTCCCATCCATTCCAGGTCCCTGAGGTGGGGCATGCTCTGAGGGTCTTGCTCAAGTGGTTTTGATAATTCAACAGTTATGAATTGTTGCCAATCTCCATTCCAAGCACGATGAGGTCGCTGAAGAATCCACTGATTGACATAGTCTCCATTTGCCCAGTTTTTCACTGCCAACATATGGCTGGGGTAGTTGATTGACTTGTTCTGTCCTTCCTTGCATTCTAAAGTAGCTAAAACTTCACCTCTGATCTTTGGCCACAAGATACATGTGACCTTTTTTATCCCAATTTTACATACTGACTTTCCACCCATGTCTATTTTTTCTGCACACATCCTCAAAATCTGTTGTAGGGCTAGACTCAACCTGGCAGCAGGGGTAGTGGGGTGCAAGAGTGGGACTGAAGGATGTAGAAAAGCCCAGATCTACACATGAGTAACCATTCTCATAATCTAGGGGAAGACGCGCAGGTTTCTGTCAGCAGGAGCTGAACACTGCTGGTGTCCGCAGTACTCAATCCATAAAGTGACTTCTACAACTTGCCCTTTTTGAATATAAGCCAATCTCTAAATCATGCCCTGAAGCAATCAGAGGCTTAACGGATTTGGTCCTAGTTCCTCGATCAACTGTCAAAATCAACCACGTGTAGCCAGTTACAACTTTTTTTGGATTTGATGCTCATCTTAGGAGTGTGTGTTCTAGTCATTGTCAAGTAGGCTCCAGGGTGCCCCTGTGCCTTCGTTTAACTTGGGTCTTTTCATTCTCTGGCGTCGAGCATTGGGTTGAAGACAGAAAAAGGCTCTGAAATTACAGCTGTCCTCGGTGATGTAAGAAAGGGAGGCTGGAGAAGCTGCCCTTTTGTAACGTCAAAGCCTTCCGTTGGTTACTCAGGGGCAGTCAATCCCTATCGGTTAAACCCCCTGCTTATTCTTCACAAATACAAGATCTGTTCAAGATGTTCAGATTTTCTAGCTGGCAGAGACTGCTAGGAGTCTTAGGTTTTGTTTCCCCCCTTACCCTGCTCATTCTGTTTCACGGTACCCTCCCCGGCCCCTCGCCCCAAACTCCAGGCTTTCAAGTTCGCGTGGCAGAAAAGCCTGCTCCTCTTGGATGCAGGCGGCACACTGGCCAGTCTTGACTTTGCGTGACCTCAAACGAGTAAAATCCTTTCTTGGGTGGAGTGTTTCCTCCGGCCCCACGGGGCGCGTGAGAACGAAAAATCAATCCCCAAACCAACTTCATAACTAAGATCTAACCCATTTCAGCCCCAGCCTTCACCTCAAGCCCGACCAGCCCTCTCCCAACTGGCCGCCGGCCGTTAACGTCTCCCCGCCCCGCGCGGGGCGCGCACCAGCAGCTTCCGGCGGCCACGGGCACGCGCCCCTGTGCGTGACGCCCCCCGCCCGCCTCGGCGCCTCGTCGCGAGGGCCAGAACGCTCCGCCGTCACTGAGGGGGCAGCCCCAGCGGCGAACCCCGAAAGACGGCGGGGGGAGGTGCCGAGCGGGGCGCCCCACTGTGGGCAAAACGCTCTGAGAAACAGAATCCTATATGCTAAGCAGCGCGTGCGTCCTTCCTGGCGATTGGCTAGGAGTTACTCTCGAAGCCAATCACTTCGGAACGAGGGTGGGACCGTTGACATCCTTTCATCCTCATTGGCTGGGAGGCTGGGGCGCCAGGAAAAGGTGTCTGCCCAGAGTATCCGCGATTACTTTCCCCGCCGAGCGGTGCGTGTCCCGGAAGTGACGCAGGGCCCTGGCCAGGCCGGTCGCCCTGCCTCCGTTTCCTTTCACGCCGTGGCTGCCCGGAGGGTTGCTTGTGTGGCCGCCGTGCCCGGAGGCTGGCGGAGGCGCGGCGGCCAGTAATGCCTGGGAAACTCCTCTGGGGGGACATTATGGAGCTGGAAGCACCTTTGGAGGAGCCCGAGAGCCAGAGGAAGGAGAGGCAAAAGGTGCGCTGAGGATGGGGCCGCGCCTCCGGTGTGCGCGGCTTGGGCGGGGAGGGGAGGTGTCCCTGGTGATGGCATGTCACCGGCGAGCCGGAGCATCCGAGGGCCTCGCCGTCCCCTCCGCGGTCTCTTCCCCGCCCTCAGCAGCTGGAGAAGCACGGCCTTGGGCTGTAGCTGGCCTCCCCTGGCCCTTCAGCCCGTCCTCTTGGCGCCCGAAGCTTTCCCAAGAGCTGGGCAGACACGCTCCCATCGTCGAGGAATCTGTTTCTTCTTCTCCCATAAGCGAGGAGGCCTGGTTGTTTGGTTCTCATTGGCTGTCCTGGAAGATGATTAAGAAAAATGATATATGTATTTTAAAAAATTATCGGGGAAATGGGTTGCCTCCCTGTCACCCCATCTTGTGTATGCAACAATCTTAGGGACAGCGATCCCAAGTTTATAGAGTTGGATAAACTAATGTCGTGTCCAAACCCGGGGTTGTCAGGGTTTGTCTGTGATGGAGATCCTGTGGAGATCTGTGCTTTCATTCAGTCCACAGGTATGTATTCTAACCTGCCTTGCACGCCTCGCTGAGTACAGAGAACTTTAGCTAAGGATAAGAAATGGGCCTTCCCTCTAGGTGCCTGTGTAGAGTTGTAGAAACTTACCTCACTTTAAGTCCTGCGACAGAATCACAGGTGCCAAAAAATGTACAGGTAAAATTTTGACAGTAGACATCTGATCTGCAGAAATGAGAACAGGTAGCAATATTTGAAGCGTGACGTTTGGCGAAAGCATCAGATTTGTTCAGTATAATGGGTAGAGAGTCGAACCTTCCTGCCCAGCCATCTTGCTAGGGTAAGCTTACAAACAACCTGTTTCCTTTATTGTGGAATACACAAAACCTGACACTTGCCATTTTTAAGTGTGTAATTCTGTGGTGTTTATTCACATTGTTTTGCAGCCATTACCAAGATCTGTCTACAGAACCTTTTCATTTTCCCAAGCTAAAACCCTGCCCATTACACGCTGACTGGTTTTCCTGGTCCTGACATACACTGTTGTGTTTTCACTACAAGAGTTAGGTACTAGGGTGTAAATGGAATCCCCAAGTAGTTGTTTTGAGCTCCTCTTCTTTGAACTTTTAGATTCAAATCTTGGATCTGTCCAGGCCTAGTTTATGCCTCTTCTAACCACCTCAGTGGGAAGTAAGCTTCTTCCCCTTTGAAGTCTGTTCCCATGCTGTATTGATCATGTAGATGGCATTTATTTTGTGTTTCCTGTAAAGTTATTTTCCTCTTGTATATGTCTTTCACAAGTATTTCCCAGATTTTCCAGGAAAATGACTATGTCTGTTTATCCTTGCATTTTCATATATTCATATAATTTGGTGGTTTTTGTATTGTAAATTCTTTGTAAATACTTGTTGAAAGATCTTTATGCAAGATAGAGATTTGGAAATGCAGTATCAACTAATAGATCTAGCTTTAGGCTAGAGATACGTTCTGAGACGAAGTAAGATGAAGATGCTGTGGAGCTGAGCATACAGGTTCTCAGAACTGGACTGTAGGTGAGGAAGGACATGTTGAAAGTATAAACAGTGGGGGTCAGGGTGGTGGCTTAGCCGGCTAATTCTCCACCTGCAGCACCTGCAGCATTTCATGTGGGCACTGGTTCAAATCCTGGCTGTTCTATTTCCAATCCAGCCCTCTGCCTTTGGCCTGGGGAGGCTGGCTTCAGATCTGCTCAGCCCTGGTCATTTTGATCAGTTAGGGAGTGAACCAGTAGATGGAAGACCTATCTCCTTTCTCTGTAAATAAGCCTCTCCAATAAAAAAGAATAAGTTATTAAAGAAGGAAGTGTAAATGGCGTGAGAGTGTGTATGGAGAACAGACTTAAGGACTATCCATAGGGTGAGGTGGAAGGGCCAGTGAGGAGGTGACAGATACGAGGTTAAGGACAGAGTGTGTTGGAAAGCGAGAGAGCTGCAAATGTCAGCCTGTGGGTCTGATAGGGATTAATGTATTTCATCATCTTGCGGTGTTGCTGGGCGTGGCCTTAGAAGTTGGCCTTGCTACCTCCCCTCCCTGAAGTGCAGAGCCCAGGAGCAATTCAAACCCCAGACTGGCTCTACAAATAACCTTGTTTTTCTAGAGGATCCATTGGTTTGGTGAGCTGTGGACTAGGCAGTTAACTAAAGATCAGATGATGTAATAATTACCTCCAAAGCATTTTCACATAGGTCATGTTGTCCAGTTTTCACAGCAGGTTCTATTCTGTAGCTGAGGATGTTGTATGCTAATGTATCTTAACAATTCTGAGTCATGGTGAGAATTTTGGTGATGATAGTTTCACAGCCAGTAATGGCTGATATCTAATTTATTTTGAACATCTGACCAGCTCATTCTGAGGAAGTGCTACATTTCAACACTACAGCTTGTGCTTTACAATTATTAACAGCAGCGGCCATTGGGTTGGCCATTGGGGCAGCCGTGGTGCCGCAGGTTGAGCTGTACCTTGGGACCCCTGCATCCCGTGCTGGAATGGCTGAGATCCAGACTCACCTCTCCTGGGGCTATACCTTGCTGCTAGGGCAGCTTGGAGCGAGCAGATGAGGTCCCAGGCATTTGAATTCCTGACACCCAGGTGGGAGACTTGGATGGAATTCCTGGCTTGTAATTTCTGTCTAGCTCAGTCCCAGCTGTTGGAAGTTACATGGGGAGTGAACCCGTGGATGTCTATCGTGCAGCCTTTCAAATAAATGAATATACCATAAACAAAAACCAGCAGAAAACATTGACTGCCACTTTGGCATTTTAAAATCAAAGTTGCAGAATTTTGATTTTTAAAATGTATTTGTAAAGTAGGATTAGAGAGAGAGAGAGAGGAACAGTAATAAAGAGATCTTCCATTTAATGGTTCACTCGGCAGTGGCCACAGTGGCTGGAGCTGGGCCAGGCCATAGCCAGCAGCTTCTGGATCCCTCATGTGGGTACGGGGACACAAGGTCCTGTGCCAGGGAGCTGGATCAGAAGTGAAACAGTTGGGGATTTGAACCAGCGCCTAAATGGAATCTGCTACTGCAGGTAGCGGCTTAACCTGCTACCTCATGACATCAGCCTCCAATTTTTAAAACAAAACATAAATTCTATTCACTAATTAAAAATAGTTAAGAAATTTTCAGGATGAATGTCCTTTGATGGAAGTAGAACAGTAAGGATTTTTAAAGATTTATTTATTTTTATTAGAAAGTCGGATACATAGAGGGAAGAGAGACAGGAAGATCTTGCATCCACCGATTCACTCCCCAAGTTACTGCAATGGTTGGAGCTGTGCCAGTCCGAAGCCAGGAGTCAGGAGCTTCTTTTGGGTCTCCTATGTGAGTACAGGGTCCCAAGACTTTGGGCCATCCTCAGCTGCTTTCCCAGGCCACAAGCAGGGAGCTGGATGGGAAGTGGGGCCACTAGGATTTGAACAGGCACCCATATGGGATCCTGGCATGTGCAAGGCAAGGACTTTAGCTGCTAGGCTACTGCGTCTGGCCCAATAGTTAGATTTTATATGAATTCTATAATTTTGTTTTTCTGTTAACCATACAAGTGCAGAAGACCTGATATGAAAAATAGCGTAGGCTTTCAAGTCAGAACTAGATTTAATTTCTGGCATTTCTATCTGCAGGAAGTCCCTCATGTGGATCTTTGGTAAGTTACTCACCCTCTGAGAACTTCATTGAAAAAGTAATACAGGTTCACTCTCCCTATACCAACTTTTTGAGCTAGATGTGTTTTGCCATTCAGAACTGTGGGAATTTGTTTCCCCCTCTTCCCTTTGGGATTTTTTTTTAAAAGATTTATTTATTTTTATTGAAAAGTCAGATATACAGAGAGGAGGAGAGACAGAGAGGAAAATCTTCCATCTGATGATTCATTCCCCAAATGACCACAATGGCCGGTGCTACACCGATCCAAAGCCAGGAGCCAGGAACTACCTCCGGGTCTCCCACACGGGTGTAGGGTCCCAAGGCTTTAGGCTGTCCTCAACTGCTTTCCCAGGCCACAAGCAGGGAGCTGGAAGGGAAGTGGAGCTGCCGGGATTAGAACCGGTGTCCATTTGGGATCCCAGCGTGTTCAAGGCAAGGACTTTAGCTGTTAGGCCACTGCATTGGGCCTTCCCTTTGGGAACTTTAAGAAGGGTAATATTTCAACAGGATTTGGGGCCCACCACTTCTTATCAAACACTTTATTAATTTTTTTTATTTTTATTTTTTAAAGATTTATTTATTTTTACTGGAAAGTCAGATTTACAGAAAGAAGAAACAAAGATCTTCCAACTGCTGTTTTGCTCCCCAAGTGGCTGCAACAGCTGGAGCTGAGTGAATCTGAAGCTAGGATCCAGGAGTTTTTCCCAGTTCTTCCATGGAGGTGTAGGGTCCCATGATTTTGGGCTGTCCTTGACTGCTTTGCCAGGGAACAAGCAGGGCACTATCTGAGAAGTGGAGCAGCCAGGACATGAACTGGTGCCCGTATGAGAACCCAGTGTGTGCGAGGCAAGGACTTTAGCCACTAGGCTATCACACCAGGCCCTGTTACAAAGTTTTAAACAAACTGAATGAAAATACATTACACAGTGCGGGGGTAGATACCCAATAAATGCTATTTTTCAGTCTCTTGAGGTATTAGAAGTTTTTTGCTTGTTTTTAATTTATAATATTGAGATTCTCATTTTTTTTTCTGAGAAAGACCTGTTTTTTTCTCAAATCCTATGCGGGGATTAAAGTTGAGGGTTGATCTGGAGAATGTGAGAATTGAGATAACAAAAATGCTAAGAGGTCAAGTTTAGAACTTGGCATTAGTTACCAGGTTGGATTTCTTCTTGGTAGGTTTTCAGAAAAACTGTAGGTTGAGCATAAGTGGCTAGAGAGTTTTCTGGAGTCCTTAAAGGAGACCCATGATCTTCTGTCCCTGCTTGTTTGTCCACAGAGTAACAGAAGGAAGTCAAGGCACCATTATGACTCAGATGACAAATCAGAAACAAGGGAAAACGGTGTTGCAGATGACTTAGATGGTCCCAAATCCAAAAAAGCTAAAACGAGAGAGAAGCTAAATGGAGACACTGAAGAAAGATTTGACAGACTTTCAGATGAATTCTCTACATCTCGGAGGTCAAGGAGGAAACATCTGCCAAATGGAAGTATTGAGTATGAAAACAGATCAAAACGTGTATCTTCCTTGGACAGTTCTCACAAATCGAGTGATAATAAACAAGAGGAGGTAAGTATACTTTTTATTTTGCATTTGACATTTCCTTCAAACATAGACTGATTTGAAATTTTTTTACACTAATTAACATTGATTCTATAGTATTCCTGCTTAGTCTCATTTGAATTAGAGCTTATTTGGCTGAAGTCTGAGCCTTTTTTTTTTACTTTTTATCCTTTTCCTTTTTCATTATTTTTGCTTTTTCCTTGGGATTAGTGTGGGGGAGTTGCCAAATGTAACCCTTTCTTGTACATTTTGGAACCTGAACAGTTTCTTTCAATATGTTATTGATGATCATCAACTTGTATTTCTTATGGTTGTTTCAGTTCCTACCAGTACTTATGAATTGACTTCTGACTTCTTGCGACAAGGTACAGAAGGCCTCTTGATTTGGTGTATTTTGCCTTCTGCTTTTTCTGTTTCTATAGCCGCACTTACAAATGATCTTTTTGCTCTTACCGTGACTCAGTGTTGAGAGTGTATTACTGTTTGAAATTTTATTTATTTATTTATTTGAGAGATAGAAAGAGAAATAGATAGGAGGTCTCATCTGCTGGTTCACTCCCCAAATGCCTGAAGAGTGGTTGGAGATAGGCTGTGGCGGAAGTGAAGAGCTGAGGACCCAGTTCACGTCTCCTGCCAAGGGTAGCAGGAGTGCATCCCTCTGAGCCATCACCTGCTCCCTCCTAGGGCCTGCGTTAACAGAAGTCTGCTGTTAGGTATCCGAGCTGGGACTTGAGCCCAGTTGTTCCAGTAGGAGATGCAGACATCTTAACTGGCATGTTAACTGCTAGGCCGGGTACCCACCCCAAGACTGACTCACTCACTCACCTTTCTTTCCTTCCTTTCTCTTTCTCCTGCTCTCTTTCTTTTTCTTTTTTCTCTCTTCCTTCCTTTTTTTTTTTAAAGATTAATTTATTTGTATCGGAAAGGCAGACTTAGAGGAGAGACAGAAAGATCGTCCACCCACTGGTTCACTCCCTAAGTGGCCGCAGCAGCCAGGGCCAAACCTGTCCAAAGCCAGGAGTTTCTTCCGGGTCTCCCACATTCGGTCAGGGAGTTGGATGGGAAGAGGAGTAGCCCAACATGAACTGGTGCTCATAAGTGGTCCCGGCGCATGCAAGGCGAGGATTTAGCCACTGAGTCATCATGCCAGGGACACTTTTCTTTCTTTTTAATTAATTTTATTTGAAAGGCAGAGTTGCAGAAAGAGAGAGGGAGAGAGAAATCTTCCATCTGCAAGTTCACTCCTCAGATGGCTGCAACAGCTGGTGCTGGACCAGTCCAAAGTCAGGAACCAGAAGCTTTTTACAGGTCTCCCACATAGGTGTCAGTATCCAAGCATTTGGCCCATTCTCCACTGCTTTCCCAGCTGCCTTAGCAGGTAGCTGGAGCAGAAGTGGAGCAGCCAGGACTCAAATCAGCACCCATATGGGTTGCTGAAGCTGTAGCAGCATCTTTACTTGCTGTGCCAATACACTAACCCCCAAGATACTTTCCTGTAGAAATTATTTCAAAAGCTGGCAGGATTTATATATTTATCTAGGTGTTATAAATGTCATTAAATTATTGAAGTCAGGACTGGTATGGTAGCCTGCTGGCTAAAGTCCTCATCTTGCACACACTGGGATCCCATATGGGTGCAGATTCTAATCCCGGCTGCCCTGCTTCCCATCCAGCTCCCTGCTTGTGGCCTGGGAAAACAGCAGAGGGTGGTGGCTCAAAGCCTTAGGAGCCTGCACCTGCTTGGGAAGCCCCAAAGAAGCTCCTGGCTCCTTGCTTCATGTCAACTCGGATCTGGCCTTTGTGGCCAAATGGGGAGTGAACCAGCGATGGAAGACCTTTCTCTCTGTCTCTCCTTCTTTCTGAAAATCTCCCTTTCTAATAAATATAAATAAATATTTAGGAAGATCTATTTACTGATTTATTATAAGAGTTATACAGAGAGAGGGAGAGAGAGCTTTCATATGTGGGTTCACTCTTTAGATGCTCCAGCAGACCCAAACCAGGAGCTTAAAGTACCTGTCTCCCATGGGTGGTAGGAACTTACGTAGTTTAGGCTATCATCAGCTGCTTTGTAGGTGCATTAACACAAAGCTGGACTGAAAGTGGAGTAGTGGGGCTCTAATCGACATTCAGATATGTGATCTGGGAATCCCAACTGGCAGCTTAACCTACTGTACCATAATGCCCACCCAAATTATAACAATTTTTAAAAAATTGATTTGAAAGGCTGGTTTACTCCCTAAATGCCTGCAACGTTTAGGACTGCACCAGGCCAAAATTGATGAGCCTGGAACTCTATGTTGTTTTCCCATGTGGTTGGCACTACTGGAGCCGTCACCTGTTGGGTTCCCAGTTGCAAACTACTAGGGAGCTGGCTTAAGGAGTGAAGCTGGAACCTGAACCCCAGCATCCCGGAAAATGTGAGCATTCCAAGCTGTGTCTTAACCACTAAGGGAAATGTCTACCTCATGCTATTAATTCTTGGTAACTAATAGTGCTTTTCATTCTGCGTGACAGTTGCTGTATATATAAATACATAGAAGTTTAGTATTTAGTCAGAAAAACTTTGGGGCAAGCTATTGAACCCCTGCCTTACAAGATAATGTTTTATCATTTGTGAGTTTTCTGTATGTCAGGAGGGACATAGATTAGTTTAGCTACATCAGGTCCCACAAATCCGTATTGCTCGGAGTGGAGACAAATGTACATGCTGTTTCTTGCTTCGTTGGAATTTTTCCTTCTAAAATATTCAGTATTATAATAGCATTAACAGTTTGTTATTTTGTATGGATTATGTTAGAGTCCTAGAATTATACTCCCAGGAATTTATCCTAAGAGGATGATCATGAGGTATGCATGTCATGAATGAGTATTCTTTTTTTAAGATTTATTTTATTTTTATTGGAAAGATAGATATACAGAGAGGAAAAACAGAGAGAAAGATCTTCCATCCATTGGTTCACTGCCCAAGTGGCCGCAATGGCCAGAGCTGAGCTGATCCAAAGCCAGGAGCCAGGAGCTTCTTCTGGATCTCCCACATGGGTGCAGAGTCCCAAGGCTTTGGGCCATCCTTAACTGATTTCCTAGGCCACAAACAGGGAACTGGATGGGAAGTGGAGCAGCTGGGACACGAACAGACACTCATAATTGGATGCTGGCATGTGCAAGGCAAGGACTTTAGTCACTAGGCTATTGCACCAGGTTCATAAATAAGCATTTTAAATCACAATAATATTGTTGACAATAGCAAAAAGTCTTACAGTGGATAGTTGATTTGATATACCATTTCAGGAAATGACCTAGGTTTAATAAAATATGCTGTCTTAGGGGCTGGCCTTGTGGTGCAAAGGATTGTATCCCACTTACATCCTGTACCAGAGTGCTGATTTGACTCCTTGCTACTCCGCTTCGAATCCAGCTCCCTACTGATGTTCCTGTGAAGGCAGTAGGTGATAGCTGGGTCTCCATCAGAGACTCAGATGTGGGGCTTGGCCCAGTCTTGTGTGCTGGAGATGTGGGGAAGTGAACCAGCAAATAGAAAATCTATTGTGCGTGCACACACACAAAGAGTCTCTCTTTCTGTCTTTTCCTCTGTCACACTCTCTTTCAAATAAACATATTTTTAAAATCCAATATGATATTTGTAGTTACCAACTGAAATTGATTAATTTGTAAGTTTGTTAATGATTAATGAGTAAATGTTAAATGTAAGTTGTGTTATTTAGAATTTTGGTTTCATTTGACAGACCCTAACGCGTGAACAGAAAGAAGGAGCCTTCTCTAATTTCTCAATCTCTGAAGAGACTATAAAGCTTCTGAAAGGTACTGTGAAATTTAGTAGCTATGTAGTTGAAAAATCAGCTGCATTTTATGAAAGTCTTATCCCTTTTCTGAACAAAAATAGAATATGAAATAATAGAGAAATAGCTCTTCCGTAATGGTGGTTACTTGGGTGCCATCCTCTTCAGTATTTAGACCTACTTTTGGCATTAAAATTATGTATTTGCCCAATTTCAGACCAATTTTTCTTTTTTCTTTTTTTTCCTTATTTATTTATTCATTTATTGTTTTTATTTTCATTAGACCAATTATTCAATAATTTCTTTATGGGTAGAAACAAGTATAAATGTCACCAGGTGGTATGTCCTTGGACAGACATTGAGAAATCAGGATTGTCATTTTCGAGTGAATGTACCATGTTGCTAACGTTAATCTGAAAGTAGTATTTTAACAATCTTATTTTACAGGTCGAGGGGTAACATACTTATTTCCTATTCAAGTTAAGACCTTTGGCCCTGTGTATGAAGGAAAGGATCTGATTGCTCAAGCACGGACAGGAACAGGGAAGACATTCTCTTTTGCCATCCCCTTGATTGAAAGGCTCCAAAGAAATCAAGAAACAGTTAAAAAAAGCCGCTCACCAAAGGTAACCATTTTAAGGGAGCAGAAGTTCTAAATACCCGCTTGGAAAGGGGACGAAAAAGTACACTAATGTTAAGTTCAAGTAGCGCCAAAACAAAGAAGTTAGCTTTGGGTAGTGGGCTTTTCACCTAATGGTTAAGGTGCCCATATCCCACGTTGGCCCACCTAGCTTTGATTCCTAGCTTCTGACTCTAGCATCTTGCTAATACAGATACAAGGAGACAGCAGTGACAGCTCAAGGAATTGGGTGGTTGTTCCCCACATGGGAGTCTTGGATTGTCTTCCAGCTTCTGGCTTTGCCCTGGCCCAGCACCAGCTTTTGCAGAGTGAGCTAGCTGATGGGAGTGTTCCCTCTCTGTTTCTCTCTAACTCTGTCTCTCTGTCTTTCTCTCTCTCCCTCTCTGTCTCTCTTTTTCCAAACTCTCTGGCCTTTTGAATAATTAAAAAAGAAAAGTTAGGGGCCATGAGAGGTAGCTTAGCAGCTAGACTCTGTGCCTTGAATGCACTGGGATCCCATATGGGCACCAGTTCTAATCCCAGGAACCCTGCTTTCCATCCAGCTCCCTGCTTATGGCCTGGGAAAGCAGTTGAGGGTGGCTCATGGCCTTGGGACCCTGCACCGGCATAGGTGACCTGGAAGAGGCTCTTGGCTCCTGGCTTTGGATTGGCGCAGCTCTGGCCATTGCGGCTGCTTGTGGAGTGAATTATCAGATGGAAGATCTTCCTCTCTGTGTATCTGACTTTTTAATTAAAAAAATAAATCTTAAAAAAAAATTAGTTTTGTGGTATATTGTAAAAATTTGAGTCCTACAGCAAAAAAAAAAAATTGTTTTAAGGTTTATTTATTTTTATTGGAAAGGCAGATTTATATATATAGAGAAAGATCTTCTATTCTCTGTTTCACTCCCCAAGTGGGTACAAGGACTGAAGCCAGGAGCCAGGAACTTCTTCCAGGTCTTCCAAATGGGTGCATGGTTCCAAGGCTTTGGACTATCTTTTGCTACTTTTCCAGGCCACAGACGAAGCTGGATAGGCAGTAGAGCAGCTGGCTCACGAACCGGTGCCAATATGGCATCCCAGTGCTTGCAAGGAGATTGGCCAATTGAGTCATCATGCCAACCCCAATTGGTTGGTTTTCTTTTTTTTTTAAAGATTTATTTATTTTTATTACAAGTCAGATATACAGAGATGAGGAGAAATAGAGAGGAAGATCTTCCGTCTGATGATTCCCCAAGTGACCGTAACGGCTGTTGTGCCGATCTGGAGCCAGGAGCCAGGAACCTCCTCCAGGTCTCCCACGTGTGTGTAGGATCCCAAAACATTGGGCCTTCCTCAAATGCTTTCCCAGGCCACAAGCAGGGAGCTGGATGGGAAGTGGGACTGCCGGGATTAGAACAGGTGCCCATGTGGGATCCCAGCTTGTTCAAGGCGAGGACTTTAGCTGCTAGGCCACGCAGCCGGGCCCTAGGGTTGGTTTTCTTTTTTTTAAAGATTTATTTTTATTATTTTTCTTATTGGAAAGGCGGATATACAGAGAGGAGAGACAGAGAGGAAGATCTTCCATCCGATGATTCACTCCCCAAGTGAGCGCAACGGGTCGATACTATGCCGATCCAAAGCCAGGAGCCTTTTCCGGGTCTCCCACGCGGGTGCAGGTTCCCAAAGCTTTGGGCCGTCCTCGACTGCCTTCCCAGGCCACAGGCAGGGAGCTGGAAGGGAAGCGGGGCTGCTGGGATTAGAACCGGCGCCCATATGGGATCCCGGGCGTGCAAGGCTAGGACCTTTAACCACTTGCGCCACCGCGCTGGGCCCTAGGGTTGGTTTTCACATGAATAAATTCCAAGCAGTCAAAGTGATATAATTATTGCATATGACCGTAATATGTATGAAACTTTAGACATCTTGGATGATTGTAGTTTGAAGCCTGAATATCTTATTTTAAGAATATTTATAGTAGTGACTTAATGACCCTTTTTTTTAGTACCACTCTTTGCTTTTAGTGATGCTTTGGAAAAAACATTTTTTTAAAGATGAGTTTTGTTTGTTTGTTTGAAAGGAAACGAAGGGGAGGAGGAGAGAGACAGAGAATCATCTGCCGAATCATTCCCTGATGGCAGCAAATTCAAGGGCTAGCCTTGGCTGAAGCCAGGAGCCTGGGGCTTCTTTCAGGTCTCCCATGTGAGTGTAGAGGCCCACGCCTCTGCTTTCTCAGGCACGTTAGCAGAGAGCTGGATCAGAAGTGTTGCAGCCGAGAATTAAACCAACACTCATATGAGATTTAGTATCACAGTCCTACAATGCTGGCCCCTGACTTAGAAAAATACCTTCATTTGAAGGAGACACAGAGAGAGGGGGCTCCAGTCTGCTGATTTACTCCACACAGCAGCTCAAGTTGGGTCAGGACTAAAGCTGAAAGTCAGGAAGTCAGTGTTAGTCTCTAGCTGGTGGTAGGAGACCAGCTGCATGAGCTATCACCAGTGTTCCCTAGGTTCCACAGTGGTGGGAAACGAGTCAGGAATTGGAGCTGGGACTCAAATTCAAGCACTCTGACAGACAACATAGGCATCTTTTTTGGGGGTGATGTTTATATTAGTTGATCAGGGTCAAGGATCAGAGGAAAGTGGGCAAGACCATTTTTGACACATTTTCTTTTTCTTCTTCCTGTACCTGGGGGAGGGGAGGATACAAGGGGAGAGGCCACGTCCAGCCTCCGCAGTACACGATGTCAACCCAGGGTCCCCGTTGGGGAGCATGTCCTGAGGAGTCTGCTCAAGTGGCTCAAGTGATTTTGATAGTTCTGAGTGCTGTTGATATTGCCACTCCAGGGTTGAGAAAATCCTTCCAAGGTCAATTGGCTGACATAGTCCACCTCGGTGTCTCCATTCACCCAGAGCTTTGCTGTCAAGTTTCACTGGGGTAGTGAACAATTTGTTCTGCTCTCCTTCCTCTGCAAACCTATGGGTGCTGCGGCCCAGCCCAACCCTACCCACCACACGCATGGCCCTCACGTACACCATTGGGAGCTGAAGCCCATTAGAGCGCCCCACCCCCAACACTCACTGGACTGGCTCCCAGCTGGTTCCTGAGCAACACAGGCATCTTATCTGCTAAGCTAACCTCCTATTCCCCTCAATAGTGAGTGTTCTTTTTATTTTTTTATTTATTTGATGATTCAATAAATATACAATGACATTTGTTACTGGTTGACTTTTTAGGAAAAGTGTTATAAAAATGAGATCGACAGTTTTTGTGTTACTGAGGTAAAGGAGATCTTAATTTATAAGTAGTAAAATCAACTATGAGAGGGATGGCATAGTTTTATGAGAGGTTAAACCTCTGCTTATGAAGCTGGCTTTAGTCCCAGCTACTGTTCTCCTTTTAATCCAGCGTTCTGCTAGTACACTTAGGGGAGGCAGCAGATGATGGCCTCTATAGTTGGCCCTTTGCCATGCACGTAGGAAGTCAGGATGGAGTTTATGGCTCGTGGCTTCAGCCTGGCAAAACTCTGGCTGTTGGAGTCATTTGAAAGTGAACCAGCAGATGGATGATGCCTCTATGTTGCTCTCCAAATGAAATCAATCAATGTAAAAATCAACTAGTAGAATGCAGCAGTAAAATTTTGGCCTGATATTTGACCTTTAGGGGACATGTATGAGATTTAAGGCTTTGTTTTGTTTTGTTAAAGTGTTATTTATTTGAAAGGCAGAGCTACAGAAAGACTTAGACAGAGAAAGAGATCTTGCATCTGCTGTTCACTTCCCAAATGGCCACTACAGCTGGAGCTGGGCCAACTTGAAGCCAGGAGCCAAAAACTTGCCCCAGATCTCTCACATAGGTGTAGGCCCTGGGCACTTTGTCCCAGGCACATCAGCAGGGAGCTGGATCAGAAGTGGAGCAGCCAGGATTCAAACTGGCACCACAGATGGTGGCTTTATCCACCTGCATGACACTGACCTCAAGATTCCTAAAAATTATCCAAAAAAAAGTGGTTTGTCCTTTGAAATACCTCTAAATAAATGCTATCATAGAATCAGAACAACTTAATATGTGTAAATGTAGTCAAGTCATAATGGTCTTACATCACCTATTCTAAATGAGTTTGGCTGTGTTGCTGTACACAGTAAATGTTCTGTTTCTTGGCTGTAATAGGAAAGATGCAAGTTCGAGAAGTAGGACATAATCCCAATACTGCCTTAAAAAGCTTTAACGTTAAAAATGTTACTAGAAATTCCAGCACTAAAAACTGTTTAACCTTTTTAAAGTCTTTAAAGTTTTTAAAAAAAAATTTTTTTGTCTGTTTGAACGGAAGAGTGACAGAGACAGATCAGTCCTGTGGTTCACTTGGCAAAGTGACTACAACAGCCTGAGCCGGGGCCAGCTGAATCCAGGAGCCGGGAACTCCATCTGCATCTCCCACTCAGCATCAGGAACTCCAGTGGTTGAGCTGCGGTCTCCTGCTGTCAGATGCTTTAGCAAGGAGCTGGATTTGAAGTGGAATAGATGGGACTTGAGGTAGCACTCTGCTAGGGGTTTCAGGTATCCCAAGAGTAGCCCAAACCACTGCACCACAATGCCAGCCCTATTCTTTTAACTTACCTAACACATAGGTTCCTCAGCAATAAAATTGGTATCATAATGCCACCTGATGATGTTTGTGTGAGAATCAAGTTAGATAATTCATGTAAAACAAAGTACCCAGCACATGGTGATTATTTGTTCATTTAACTGATATTTTTGAGTATGCTCTGTGTTGAAAACACAAGGAATAGTTACTCATCTTCCATTTATCCTTGCCTTCATGGAATTTACATTTTAGCATACAAGGAAAAATAATTTACGTGAACATCGAGGAGAAACCAGGGGCAGGGAGATAGGGAATGAGGCTTGGAACCCTCCCTGAGGAAGTGGCTGTTGAAGAAATCTGAAGGACATAAGAGAGTTTAAGTGGTGGTTTTCGTTATTGCTAATTGTGCTGTTTTAAAATATTTAACATTATGTTGATATCTCTAGGTTCTTTTTTCCCCTATTTATTTATTTACTTATTTATTTGAAAGGCAGGGTTATAGCTCATCCTCTGGCTCGTTACCCAAAAGCCCACAATACCTGTAGCTGGGTCAGGTGAAAATAGGAGCTTGGAACTCAATCCAGATCTCCTTTGTGGGTGGCAGGGACCGAGGACTTGAGCCCCCACCTGCTATCTTCCGGCATGCACATAAACAGGAAGCTAGACCAGAAGTAGAGTAGCTGAAACTTGAACCAGTCACTGATACAGAATGTGCATGTCCTAAGTGGTTTCTTAACCTTTGTGCCACACTTACACCCTAGAGATGGCTAGTTTTAAATGACACTTAAAAAAAGAAAGTTTTCTTGGGCCTTGCATTAAGGCACGGGTGGCTAAGCTGCTCTCTGCTGCACCAGCATCCCATATAGTACTGGTTCAAGTCCCTGTTGCTCCGTTTCAAATCCAGCTCCCTGCTGATGGGCCTGGGAAAGCAGAGGAAGATGGCATGAACACTTGGGTCCTTGCCACCCGTGTTGGAGACTTGGGGGAAGCTCTTGGCTCCTGACTTCATTCTGCCAGTCCTGACCATTGCAGTCATTTTGGGAGTGGTCCAGGGGATGAAACAGCTGTGACTATGCCTTTCAAATGAATGAATTTTTTTTCCTAAGTTTTTTCATTCATCAGTCTTTAGAAAAGTGTCTTTCTGTTTTTTTAAACCTCTTGCTCAGGTACTTGTTTTGGCTCCAACAAGGGAACTGGCCAACCAAGTAGCCAAAGACTTCAAAGATATAACTAGGAAACTCAGTGTGGCCTGTTTTTATGGTGGAACATCATATCAAAGTCAGAGTGAGTAAACTTACATCAGAGTGGTACAGGGATGTGTTTGCTACTTTAATCTAAAGTCAAAATGTGAAAGTGTATTTGCTTTGTACTTATGGCTGGCATTTTATTTCTTCTGCAGTTAATCATATTCGAAATGGTATTGACATCTTGGTTGGGACACCTGGTCGAATCAAAGACCATCTGCAGAGCGGCCGGTTGGATCTCTCTAAGCTACGCCATGTTGTGCTTGATGAAGTGGATCAAATGTTAGATTTAGGTTTTGCTGAACAAGTTGAAGATATTATCCATGAGTCCTACAAAACTGGTATATCCTAATTCAAAATAAGTGCGTTAGCAGTTCATTTTCAAGTAGCTATTGGATTTTTTCTTTCATAATTTTTAATATATTATCTCCTGGGATTCTAACAACCCTGAAGTTATTTAGTCTCTGAAAAATGAAGCATAACATGCTTTAGCTGATTTCTTAGCTCCCAGTGCTTTCTTCCACGTTTTATTTTTTATATACTCAGTAGATTTACTAACTCGTTCTGTAGATTTCTTTATTCATTATTCCTTCTTAAATTCTCACCTTCCTTCAGGGTTCAGTTTTTTTCATATTGTGTCCATTTTTGAAAGTTGAGAGTTTAATGATTGCAATGAAGTCTGTATGTTAAAAATTTATCCTAAGGTTTGAATTTTTCATGATTTCTTTGAAGCTTGGGGAGACTTTTAAGAGGTGACTACATCATGGAATATTAAGAAAACTTTTGCATTCTTTTTGTTTAAGATTCTGAAGACAATCCTCAGACTTTACTTTTTTCTGCAACTTGCCCACAGTGGGTGTACAAAGTTGCAAAAAAATACATGAAATCCAGATATGAGCAGGTTGACCTTGTTGGAAAAATGACTCAAAAGGCTGCAACTACGGTGGAAGTAAGTAGCTTCATAAAAAAATAGATTTTAGCTTTTAGTTGGTATTTACTTTTCAAATTTGTTGAAGCTATAGTTAAATTTTGAATCCCTTTCAGTCTGGTCTTTTCTGCTTCTCGTCAGTGAGTGTGGATTGAGGAGCCAAGCAGAATAAATAGGGGGAAAAAGCAAGTGGATAGGCAAGTCCTAACCAGAAACATGAAAGCAGCCTTCAAAACAGACTTATAGGATGTAGAATGTGGCAAAGAAGGGATTTGTATTAACTAAAAATAGATAATGCTGATCTAATTTTTTTAAAGTTTAGGCAATAAGCTTAGATCCCTTCCCCCCATAGTCTGAAATAGTTAAAAAAATCAAATCATAACATAATTTAAAGAGGATATAAAATAGATACTTTAAAAAAAATTATTTTCATTGGAAAGGCAGATTCACAGAGAGAAAGACATAGAAAAGAGTGAAAGATTTTCCATCCACTGGTTCACTCCCCAAGTGGCCGCAATGGCCAGAGCTGAGTGGATCTGAAACCAAGAGCCAGGAGCTTCTTTTGGATCTCCCACGTGGATTCAGGGTCCCAAGGCCTTTGTGCCACACCTCCACCCTAGAGATAGCTAGTTTTAAATGTCACTTAAAAAAGTTTTCTGGGGACTGGCGTAAGCAAGGAGCTAGCTAGAAGGAAAGTGGAGCATCTAACAGTTCAAGAGCCAGCTGCTTCACTTCTGATCCATCTCCTGACTTACAGCCTGGAAAGCAGATGAGGATGGCTTAAATCCTCGGGCCCTGCAGCCAGGTGTGAGATCCAGAAGTTTCTGGCTCCTGGCTTTGGATCTGCTCAGCTCTGGCTGTTACAGTCATTTGGAGAGTGGACCATTAGGTGGAAGACCTCTCTCTGTCTTTCTGCTTTCTATAAATCTGTCATTCTAATAACAAATAAATATCTTTAAGGGATAGAAGGTCGGGGCTGATGCCATGGCATAGTAGGTTAGGCCTCCACCTGCATTGGTGTCATTCCATTTGGATGGTAGTTCCAAGGCCCAGCTGCTTTCCTTCTGATCCAGCTCTCTGCTAATGTGTCTGGGAAAGCCATGGAGAATGACCTGTCCTTGCACCACTGTACCCATGTGGGAGACCTGAGTAAAGCTCCTGGCTCCAGCCATTTAGGGAGTAAACCAGGAGATCTCTGTCTCACCTTTCTCTTCAAATAAAAATTAATAAATCTTTTTTAAAGGTATGCATTAAAAATATATATGCTTTATGACTTATTTTCCTGATATAATTTATATTCTTTTTTTTTCTAGATTTATTTCTTATTTTTATTAGAAAGACAGATCAGATTTGTAGAGAAAAGGAGAAACAGGAAGAAAGATCTTTTGCCTGTTGGTTCACTCCCCAAGTGACTGCAATGGCCAGAGCTAAGCTGATCCAGAGCTAGGAGCCAGGAGCCTGTTCCAGGTCTCCCACGTGGGTGCAGGGGCTTTGGGTCATCCTCAACTGCTTTCTCAGGCCACAAGCAGGGAGCTGAATGGGAAGCAGGCATGCCAGGATTAGAACTGGCACCCATATGGATCCTGGCACATTCAAGGCAAGGGTAAGCCCTTGAGCCATCGTGCCAGGCCCACAGTTTACATTCTTATTGTAAAACTTTCACCAGCACAAAATAGATAAAGGTTTCTTTGGCCATTCTGTGCCAACAATGCTCTCTTAAGTTATTATTTGATGTTTATTCCTCCAAAGTATTTCTGAACATTTACTTAAATACCTAAAGAATTCATTTATCATCTATTTATATGTTTCTTAAAATAGTTTAACTCTATTTCCTACCTACAGTTTAGTTTTTATGCCACAGAGCCAGCCCCAAGAGTTTTATTTATTTATTTATTTGAAAGGCAGAATAGACAGAGAAGAGAGAGACCATCTGTTGGCTCACCACCCAAATGGTCACACAGGCCAGAGCTGGGCTGATGTGAAGCAGGAGCCAGGAGCTTCTCCAGATCTCACGCAGATGCAGGGACCCAAGCACTTGTGTCATCTTCCACTGCTTTCCCAGGTGTATTAAAGGAAGCAGAGCAGTTGGAACTTAAACTTGGACCCATATAGGATGGTGGCGCCACATCCTGCTAAGCCATAGCACTGGTCCTGGAGCATTTTCACATGTAGACAGGAGATTAGTGTAAGGGATGTGATGAACACATTACCAGCTCTCACAGTGCTTGTTTCCGTGTATCCATACATTTGTCACCTCTTCTTCAGAGGCAGTGTTAGTCACTGTTCATCCTCAGGTAATTGCATATATTGGTGAAAGGATCAGTAAGATTTTAAAAAAATGTTTCTTTATGGGCCTGGTGCAATGGCTCAGTGGCTGAATACTCACTCGCCTTGCAAGCATTGGGATTCATGTGGTCACTGGTTCATGTGCCAGCTGCTCTACTTTCTATCCAGTTCCCTGCTTGTGGCCAGGAGAGCAGTAGAGGATGGCCCAAGGGCCTGGGGCCCTGCACCCACAGGGGAGATGCAGAAGAGCCTCTTGGCTCCTGGCTTTGTATTGGTTCAGCTCTGGTTGTTGAAGCCACTTGGGGAATGAACCAACAGATGGAAGATCTTTCTCTCTATCTCTCTTTCTGTAAACTTAATCTGCCTTTTCAATACAAGCAAATTAATCTTTAAAATATTTATTTAAAATGCAGAGAGAAAGTGTAATCTCCCATCTGCTGATTTACTCCCCAAATGCCTTCACTGATTTGGAGCCAGAATATTACCTTGTGTCCCCTTTCTTGTGGCCTGTGTTGATTGGAGGTGGCAGTCAGAAGCTGGAGCTAGGAATAGAACTCAGGCCTTTTTTGTTGTCGTTGTTGTTGCTGTTGTTGAAAAAGCTCATTTGTCTTAAAAGTTTCCCACAGTCTCAGTTTTGCTAATTTGCATTCTTGTGGCATTATTTAATATGTTTTGTCATTTTCCTATGAATTGATGGTTATTACATTGTGAGACTTGATCAGATTCAGGTTTTTTTGTTTTTTGATATAAGGAAAAGATAAGACCTTGTTATAAGTGGGATAAGCAATTTTTAGCTTTCGTTGTGTTTTTCTCTACTTCTCAAATATTTTGTAATCAGTACATGTTCTGTTAAAAACAGTTGGGTTAAAATGCACAGATATGAAATGTATATGTACGTTTTATAATTTTCCCCAACATTTTGTGATGAAATTTTTTTTCAGAAAAGATTTATTTAATCTATTTGGTTTTTTAAAAATGTGTTTGAAAGAGTGACAGAGACAGAAATCTTCAGCCACTGGTTCGCTCCCCAAAAGGATGCAACAGCTAGGGCTGGGCCAGGCTGAAGCCCAGATCCAGGAACTTCTTCTGGGTGTCCTTTGTGGGTAGGAGAAGCCATAAGATTTGGGCCATCTTCCACTGCTTTCCCAGGCACATCAAGTAGGGAGCTGGGATGAAAGTGGAGTAACTGGAATTCAAACCAGCACTCATACAGGATGCTGGAGTCTTGTAGCAGCTTAAGCTGCTGCACGATGCTAGTCCTTGTGAAACTTTCCAAACACACGACTTGACTGAAAGAATTTTATGTTCAGCAGCCTTGCCAATCATATAGACTCTATTGTTAATGTTTCAGTGTTTCCTTTATCACATATATAGCTTTCCTTACATCCATATTAATTTTTTATTTTCAGTTGCACAAGTAAAGTATAATCTCTCATAAATGTTTACCATACATGTCTTTAATCAGTGCACAGTATTCAAAATTTTTAAAGTTGAGGTAGAATTTATGTAAGCTAACTATTTTAAAGTTTATAACGCAGTGTCATCTGGTACATTGATGATCTATAGCCATCACTTCTATTTAGTTCAAACCATTCCCATCACTTTGAAAGGAACCTTGCCCTTTAACTATCAAGCAGTTTCTTCTCAACATCTTTTTCTTAGCTGTTGCAACCATCATGTTGCTTCTGTCTGTGGATGCATTTGTTCTGGATATTCATATTAATCTGGTTATATCATTTGAAACTTTTTGTTTATGGTTTTTTTTTAAACTAAAATATTTATTGCTAGTTATTGAACTTTTTTTTTGATTTATTTGTTTTTATTGGAAAGGCAGATATACAGAGAGGAGGAGAGACAGAGAGGAAGATCTTCCGTCCGATGATTCACTCCCCAAGTGAGTGCAACAGCTGATGCTATGCTGATCTGAAGCCAGGATCCAGGAACTTCTTCCAGGTCTCCCACACGGGTGCAGGGTCCCAAGGCTTTGGGCAGTCCTCGACTGCTTTCCCAGGCCACAAGCAGGGAGCTGGATGGGAAGTGGAGCTGCCGGGATTAGAACCAGTGCCCATATGGAATCCCGGCACATTCAAGGCGAGGACTTTAGCCGCTAGGCCACGACGCCGGGCCCTAGTTATTGAACTTCTTAGGATCAACTGGATGTGGCAGTTCCTGGGGTTTAGGCATTGTTCCTTGATGGAATCCATGCCTGAATCTGTGCTGCACGATTTTCAGGTGCCTCGTAAGGCCAGTCACTTTGGTATTGTGTGTTTTAACCTTGGCACTCCAGTTACCCTTCCTCTTGTGCTTGGTGGCAGGGTAGTCGCACTGGCACAGGTGGACTTCTGAAGGTGGTAGACCTTGGAGCCACAGCGTCTTGTTGCAACTTCTCCTGAACGATGACATTCCTTCATCATCTTTCCTGTATAGCAGAGACCAGAAAGTGCTTCTGGTTTCTTGCACTTCCTCAGTAACGTTTTTGAGGTTCATATGATATTTAAAAATTAAATATAGTTTGTGCAACAACATGCAGAATCTTAATAAGTGTTCATTTGCTTGATTTTACTATATTCATACCTGTAAGTCAAATACTAATCAAGATACTGACTGTTTGAATTATCCTAACAAAGTTCCTTCATGCCCTTTTCTGTCAGATTTCACCCTGTCCTCCCGAGATAGCCACCGATGTAATTTCTTCCACTATAGAGTTTTGCTCATTCTGGAACTTCTTAAAAGTGAATTTTGCTATATGTACATTATAAGACTTAATGTACTCAGTGATTTTTAAGTTCATCCACATTGTTTTGTGTTACAGCAGTTACTTTCTCTTAGATACTAAATAGTGTTCTGTTGTTTGAATATTCTATCATCTAATTGTCGTTTTACCAATTGATGAACATTTGTGTATTATTTTTAAATGAGATTGAGGAGTCTGTTTTATTCCCTGAGAAGGTCATGTTTTGGTCAGAAAGAGAAAACATTCAGAAGAAATCTTTTTCAATAGTTTTAACACATTTTTTATATTTTCTTCTTTCAAAGCATTTGGCCATCCAATGCCATTGGTCTCAGAGGCCGGCAGTAATTGGGGATGTCCTTCAAGTGTACAGTGGGTCTGAAGGGAGAGCTATTATTTTTTGTGAGACCAAAAAGAACGTAACTGAAATGGCCATGAATCCGCACATTAAACAGGTAAGTCTCTTCTCATGTTTGCTCTCCTGAGAGTTTGAGGATGAAATCACGGAACAGAAATCATACTGTCTTTGTGGGTCAGACTTAGCATTCTCAGAATTGAGTCTAGCCCAGAAAGACGTGCTGCTAGCCTCTCAGCCTCTTAGGATAGGAAATTTCCTAAAACAGATTTTATTATATATGTTTGAGCTTTTCAACATGGTATCAAACTTCTATCAGTTTTCATCACAAGCTTTCAAAAGGCTTTGAAAATGTGATCTGAAAAATGTAAAGGTTGAAACAAAATGAAATTCTGTGGGTAAAAGTATGGAATAATCTAGAGTTGTGTTATGAAACTAATTGCCAAAAAATTTATTTAATAGAATGGATTGTATTAAATCCATATCTTTTTTCTTTTTAAAAACTCTTTGTAGTAGAAAATTGTAAACATATAAAAGTTAACAGAATAGAGAATGTAATGTGCTTATATGCATTTATCGTCATTTCAATAATTAAAATGTACTTCAAAAAGTTCGTGGAAAATGCCATTGAAAGATGCTCGGGGTAACTGGTGTACAGTTAAGAGACTGCTTGGAACACTTGTTCTCTGAACAGGAGTGACTTTCAGCTTGAATCTCGGCTCTGTTTCTGATTCTACCTTCTTGCTGATACACATCTGGAGGCAACCAGTAATGGCGCAAGTTCCTGGGCCGCCTCATCCTCTGGGGAGACTCAGGTGGAGTGCCGGGCTCCTGGCTTCAGCCTGGCCTAGTGCTGGCTGTGGTGGGTGTTTGAGGAGTGAATCAGCAGTTGAAGAGCTCAGTTTGTCTTAGCTCTTTCAGATGATTAAAGTTCTAAAAAAAAATTTCTTTTTAAAAAGGGTGAGATTATTTTAGTGCAAATTTTGAAAAAATTACCCAAACTTTTTTTCATAATCCATGTTTCTTTTTATTTTTTATTTATTTAAAAGGCAGAGAGAGAGAGAAAGAGATAGAGGGAAATTTTCTGACCTTTGGTTCACTCCATAAAGGCCTACAACAGCCAGTGCTGTTCCAGGTTGAGGAATTAGTATAAAAAAATCAGATACCAGCCTAATTTTCTTTCTTAAAAATAATCTTATTTTTAAATGTCAGTAGCTTTTAGGCCTAGCACAATGATGACTCAATGGCTAAATCCTTACCTTGCAAAGGATCCCATATAGGCATTGGTTCATGCCCTGGCTGCTTCTCTTCCCATCCAGCTCCCTGCTTGTGGCCTGGGAAAGCAGTCGAGGACGGCCCAAAGCCTTGGGACCCTGCACTCACGTGGGAAACCCGGAAGAAGCTCCTGGCTCCTGGCTTTGGATCAGTGCAGCTCTGATGTTTATGGTGACTTAGGGAGTGAACCAGCAGATGAAAGATCTTTCTCGCTATATCTCCTTCTCTATATAAATCTGCCTTTCCAAGAAAAATAAATAATAAATTTAAAAAACCAGTACTTCTACTGGAATATAATTTGGTAATGGCCTTTTTTAGTTTAAGATTTATTTATATTTATTTGAAACAAATATTTTACTTAGAAGGAAAGGTAGAGAAAGCCTTCATCTGCAGATTCACTCCCCTGGCTGGAGTTTCTGACCCAGTCCTGGCTGTTGCAGGCACTTGTGGAGTGAAGCAATAGCTGGAATATTTATTGCTCCTTCCTGTTTTTTGTTACTTTGCCTTTCAAATAATAAGTCCTTGAAAAAATTTTAGAAGTGAAAATTAAAGCAGCATTGGCGCATCATTTTTTGCCTACTAGAGTCACCATCTAGGAGGGGGTAAAGAAGATGAAATAAACCAAGTCCTGAATGTAATTGGTACACTCTTCTTAATAATACAGTTATGAAAATATCAAAAAGTCCATAGCTTTAAAAAGTATTTTGGGGGTGTGGGGTCTGGTACGATAGTCTAGTGGCTAAAGTCCTCACCTTGCATGCTCAAGGATCCCATATGGGTTCCAGTTCGTGTCCCGGCTGCTCCACTTCCCTTCCAGCTCCCTGCTTGTGGTTTGGTAAAGCAGTTGAGGACAGCCTAAAGCCTTGGGACCCTGCACGTGTGTGGGAAACCTGAAAAAAATTCCTGGTTTTGTATCAGCTCAGCTCAGCTCCGGCACTTGGGGAGTGAATCAGCGAATGGAGGTTCTTTCTGTCTCTCTTTGAAATTTGACTTTGCAATAAAAATAAATATATTTTTTAAAAAGGTGTTTGAGAAAAAGTGAGTTATTCCATCCATGACTCACTCCTCCACATACCTGCAATGGCTGAGACTGGACCAGAGCCTGGAGCCAGAAATACATTCCAGATCTCCCACATGGGTGGCAGGAATCCAGTTACTTCCCAGAGTCCTTGGTGGGGGGTTGGAGTCGGGAGCTGGAGCTGGGAACCCAAGTTGGGCAGTCTGATGGCGGACATATGCAATTTACCTGCTAGACTAAATACGTACTCATCATTTCTAACTTAGAAATTTAACTTCCAGATAGATACCCTGATGAAATATGCCAAGACATCTAGTGTTGTTAAGTATGAAATTGTTGATTGTAGCATGGTTTCAGGAGGCAAACATTTGAAGATAACCCCAATGCCTTTAAGTAGGATATTGCTAAAAATCGTGATAGTGTAACCATATGAAGAAACTATTTAGTTTTTAACAGTTGCGTTCTATTAGAAACGATGGCAGATTCTACTTAATTTATAAATTAGATATCAAAAGTGAGCCTAAATAGTGTAATTCCTTATACATAAATTATAGCATATGCTAATTTGTGAGTAATGTGAGAGTGTACATATTTAAGGCAAAATAATTGAGATAAATGTACCAGACTGTGCATGAACTGGTTCTGAGAGGCTGGTATTAGAGAAACAGCTACATTTTATTGTTAAATTTTTTGTATTTGGTTTTTTAGAAGATAATAAATATGCCTTGTTATCAGGAAGTAAATTAAAAAACAATGTACAGACATACCCACTAGATAGTGTTAGTGTATTATCGTTTGCAAGAATGAACTATATACACTTGATTTCTCCCCTCTTTTCAAACAGAATGCCCAGTGTTTACATGGGGACATTGCACAGTCACAGAGAGAGATCACTCTAAAAGGCTTCAGAGAAGGTAGTTTTAAAGTTCTGGTGGCAACTAATGTTGCTGCCCGTGGTCTGGACATTCCTGAGGTTGACCTGGTAATTCAGAGTTCTCCTCCACAGGTAGGAAATGGGATTGTATTTGGTGAAAAATGGTTAACTTTAAAAATTGTTGCTTCTTTCATAGATTGTTGCTGGGGATGTGAAAAATGTCATTTTTTTTCTTGTTCCAAGGCTCTTTTTTCTTAGTGTAGTGTTAAACTGGTCAGAATAAGATGGCTTTTCACATGATTAACTTCATGCTGAAACAGCAACAAAGTCTTACCAGGGAGTTAGAAATTACCCTGGTGTGCTGTGAATAAAAACCTTGAAAAGTACAAGTAACAGGATTGAAATAAAAATTTTATTATTAACAGATTTTGAACAAACATTATCTCTTATTTTTAGGATGTTGAATCCTATATCCATCGCTCTGGACGTACAGGAAGAGCTGGCCGGACAGGAATTTGTATATGTTTTTATCAACCTAGAGAAAGAAGTCAGCTAAGATATGTGGAACAAAAAGCAGTAAGTAGAGTTAAATTATTTCAGTCTTATTATAGATGGTGTCTTAGAAGAGAGCTCATTTTCAGTTCTCACAAGCTTTTCTCAGTGTAAGCTGCATTTGGATGTGAAGCATGTGGAGAGCTAAATTTGTATCAGTTGCAAGACTTTTTTTTTTTAGAACTTTAATACATTTTTTTTTTTAATTAGGATAGAACTTCTCATTTTTTCCTTGTATTCCTCTTGATACTAAAATTAGAAGTGTGCTGTGACTTTAGTAATTCACAGTCGAGCATCGGAGAATGGATGGCTGTGACACTGTTTTGGCGTAATAGTTACGACTGTGTTACATAATGGTACAGTAGCCAATGTGTGTAAGAAACTACGCATTTTCTGTGGTCTAGATTTTTGCAGTTCACATTTTTCAATATTTTTTGCTTTTTAAAAATATGCTACTTTATAAATTGAACTGTGGTAATGAGAAAAAAAATTGAAAATTTTAAACACTTTTTTTTTTAGAGTTAGCTTTGTTTTGAAAGTGAAATTTCATGATTTTAATTAAGGGAATATTGAAAAAAAAATTTCCCTTATTGGAGTTTGTAATTGATAGTTTATTAGAAAAAGAAGATATTTTGTAATCTGCTAGGACTTGGAAATTGTTAAATCCAAGAAATGAAAGTTCAACCAATTATATTAATTTAGGAATTAATTGTGAAGACTTCCATTTTTCTTTAATATAATTCTTTCATTTTCAGGGAATTACTTTTAAACGTGTAGGTGTTCCTTCTACAATGGATTTAGTTAAGTCTAAAAGCATGGATGCCATCAGGTATGCTTTCTGAACTTGCTGAATAATACTTTCTTTGTGTTAGGCTGTTCATCTTTAAGCTCTTCTAGTTCAAGTATCAGAGAATTTTAATCACCAGTTTTACCAGCGACATTTAGTTATATTAAAATATGAAAACATTACTCTTTCTTTTCTCATTCATTCTCTTGTTTTTCCTGTTTTTGTTGTGTCTTGACCAAGACAATTTGTTATTTTTAAACCACAGGTCTCTGGCTTCCGTTTCTTATGCTGCTGTTGATTTTTTCCGACCATCAGCTCAGAGACTGATAGAAGAGAAAGGGGCAGTGGATGCTTTGGCTGCAGCATTAGCCCACATCTCTGGTGCATCAAGCTTTGAACCACGATCTTTGATCACTTCTGATACGGTAGAGTCCTATGAAAGAATTGTATGTGGTTGAGAAAAGATTAAAATGGAATTATTACAGATATTGTATAGTGATTTGCTGAGTGTTGAACTCAGTCCCTTCCATAAAACACTGTTTGCTGTATTAGAAATTGGCTTTCGTTTTTCTCCAGCCCACCAGTAAATGCTTTATTTAAAAAAAAAAAAGCTATTATTTAAAAGGCTCAGCAATAGAAAGGAAGAGACAGAGACACAGAACTCTACAGTGCTCTAGTTCCCTCTCCAAATGGCTGACAGCAGCTTGGAGGCTGCGCAAAGCCAGAAGCCAGGCACTCCATCTGGGTCCCCGACCTGGGTGGCTGGAGCCCAACCGCCTGGGTCAGTTCCAGATGTATTAGCAGGAAGCTGGATTAGAAGTGGATTAGCAGGAAATCTAAGCAGGAACTTCCACATGGGAAGCAGGCATTGTAAGTGGTGTCTTAGTCCATGCAGCACAACATGCACTCCCAGTAAATGTTTGACAGCCACCTGCTCCAAATCTTCAAGCCTATAGAAAAATTGAAATAAGGCAGTGAATAAACATACGTCATCCATCCTAACAACTGGTCATATTCTACATTTGCTTTGTATCTCCAGATTTAATTTTTTCCCCTAAACCATTTGAAGATAGGTTGAAACATTGCAGTATGACCTTTAAATATTTCAGTCAGTACTCATCTCCAAGAATAGGTGTATTCTCCACAATTACAACCATGTAATCTCATCTTTGAAAATTGATTTATGGTTCTATATCATTTAATATCTAGTCCATATTTATATTTGCCTCGTTATTCCAAAAATGTCTATCTGGAAAAAAAAAAAGGACATGTTTTCTTTGCCTAATATTGTGCTAAATGAATCTAAAATAACAGCACCTGTTCTTCATTTTGTAACTCAATATGGAGTCATGCCAAGTGAAAAATGGACTATGTAGCTAATACAGTTGTAGGCAAAGAAAGAACTGCCTGTTTACCTGAAGGGGCTTGTGTTTCTGTGTGTGCATATGTGTGACCAGGCCCGCTAGAGGGTTGGTATCAGATGTGAAAACATACCACCCCACATGTTTGTAAGTAATTCAATGTAGTAATTACTTGCATACAAGCAAGGAGGCACCCATCAACAAAAGGACCCCTGATGTCTGTGTAATGAATGAAAACTAGACTGGTCCTGGGGACCACCATCAAGTAAGAGACCACTTGCAAGTTTTTCAATAGTGAATGGACAGACCGGGAACCTGGGGTAGCCCATTTGTGTGGCAGGAAGGAGGAAGCAAAAGGGGCAGGGCAGCTTTACTGACATGGAAGTTACTTGATGTAGCACAGATGTGTTCAGTTTAGCCAGATGTCATTGCACTGAGGGTGATTTAATTATACTCTCTCTATACATACACTACCCTACCTCCCTGCCCCTCCCTGCCCCTGCCTCCCCTACCCACACACACATTTCTCTTTTGTAAAAATCAGGCCCCAGGTAAGGCTGTATTTGATGATCATGTCTGTTTGGGTTCATGCAGTTCAAAGCTATTTTCTTGTGTGTTTATTTTTTATGATGCTGACTTTTTAAAAATTTTTATTCTTTTAATTGGAAGGTCAGAATTACAGACAGAAGGGGAGATAGGAAGATCTGTGTGCTGGTTCACTCCCTAAGTGGCCACAATGGCTGGGACTGAGCCAATATGAAGCCAGAAGGTTCCTTTAGATCTCCCACACGGGCATGGGGTCCCAAATGATCACTCCCCAAGCAGCTGCAACTGCCGGAGCTGAGCCAGGAACTTCCTCTTGGTCTCTCACGTAGGTGCAGGATCCCAAGGCTTTGGGCCGTCTTCAACTGCATTCCCAGGCCACAAGCAGGGAACTGGAAGGGAAGTGGAGCAGCCAGGATATGAACTAGTGCCAATATGGGATCCTGGATGTACAGGAGAGGATTTAGCTACTAGGCTACTGCTCTGGGCCCAAGATTGACTTTTTTTTAAATTATATAGATAATTTTGGTAATTTTTACATGATTGATTAGGGTATGAAGGTTCAAGGGCTTGAGGAAAGTGGGTAAGACCATTGTTTTCGTATTATCTTTCCTTACTCTATCTGGGGCAAAGGGGAGATAAGGGGAAAAGCCATACCCAGCCTCCCAACCATGCCAGTGTCCCCGATATGGGGCATGCTCCAAGGGTCTTGCTCAAGTGGTTTTAATAGTTCAGCAGTTCTGTATTGCTGCCAGTCTTACACTGTAATCACGATGAAATCTCTCCAGACTCCACTGGCTGACATAGTCCACCTTAGAGTCTCTATTTGCCTGGGTATTCACTGCCAACCCCCTGGCTGGGATAATTGATCAATTTGTTTAGGGCTAAGAAGTATGGAAGAGATAATTCCTGTTACCTTTATCAAGTAAAGTAATCTTCTGGCAGTGATCTGTTTCTTTTTACTTTTCAAATAAATAATAATAATAATAATAATAATAATACACATGATCTAGCTTACTTTTAACTTCTGTTACTGTTAATTTCTGATTTATTTTTCTATATGATACTTATTATTATCGGACATTCTGTGTAGTTGCTAATCTGTTTACTGTCCTCAAACCTACACCCTGTGAGTATGGACTATATTAAATCTTTGTTAGATAAATATGACCCTATATTTTCTTCATATTGATCCTTTTGTTGTCCAGTGACATTTCACAGAATAAGTAAAAAAAAAATTTTTTTTTGAATGGTAGACAGAAAAATCTCTATAGTGTGCTGGCTCACCTTCCAAATGCCACCAACAGCTGCAGCTGTGCCAAGCCAAAGCTGGGCTCCAGGAACTCAGCCTCAGTCTCCTCATGAGCCACTCGGTGCGCCATCATGTGCTGCCTCTCAGGGTACACGGTCGCAGGAAGCTGCAATCAGGAGGAAGGCAGGAACTTGAACCCAGGCATTCTAGCCTGGGATGTGAGCATGGCAAGCAGTATCTTAAATACAGTGTTCAATATCTGCCCCCAGAATATATCTGCTTGTGTAAATAGTGCTTCAAAAAGTTAGAGGTCTCTTAACCTCTTATAATTTGTTTCATTCCAAGGTTACTTTAATTCTTTGAGCATTTTCTTTTGTTGTTTGTTTTTAAATTTATTGATTTTTATTGCAAAATCAGATATACAGAGAGGAGGTGAGACAGAGAGGATGATCTTCCATCCGACTCCCCAAGTAGCAGCCAGTATAGCTGGAGCTGAGCCAACCCGAACCCAGGAGCCCAGTGCCTCTTCTGAGTCTCCCAAGCAGGTGGAGGGTCCTGAAGTTTTGAGCCATCCTCGATTGCTTTCCTAGGCCACAAGTAGGGAGCTGGATGGGAAGCAGGGTGGCTGGGATTAGAACCGGCGATGGGATCCCAGTGCATTCAAGTGAGGACTTCAGCCACTAGGCCACTGGGCCGGGCCCTGAGCATTTTCTTAATTCTCTGCTACTTGTTTTGTTTCTCCAGTGTGCCAGTTTGTCTTAAGTATAATGGTTAGAATTAAATGTAGTCTTTAAAGTAACGGCTAAAATAGTGGTATTTTAAATCTCTAAACATCAGTCTTTTAAGTATAATTTCAAAGAAATTTTTTTTAGCGGCTGTTTTATAGCATTGGCTCAGTAGGACAGTGGCTATAGCCCTTCATCACTTATTTTTTTCCCAACATAAATGTGACTTTTCTTCCTTAGGGGTTTGTGACCATGACTCTGGAGAGCCCTGAAGAGATACAAGGTGTCAACTGTGCTTGGAAGGAACTTAATAGAAAGCTGAGTAGTAATGCCGTGGCTCAAGTTTCCAGAATGTGCCTTCTAAAAGGAAATATGGTAGGCTTCTCTAGACAATTAAAAATCTTTGGGGACAATTTTGTCTCCCCTTCCCGCTTTTTAAAAAGCCTAATAGGATGGGATGACCAATAGTTTTATCTCTGTTAGTTTGCTTACAGTTATAAATATGGGCTGTTAAATTAAAAAATCTGTGCCTTAGAGCCTGAAGTCGTCCTACTTGGTTTCACTAATACACTCAGGCTATGTTGTCTGAGCTCTGCTTTTATATGTGTAATATGTGTATTGTACGCACTCTCCAGGACTAAGTAACTAATGATTGCAAGAGTGAAGTGGTTCTGTAATTTAAAGAGCACATGCTACTGTTTAAGTGGCTGCTATTGACTGTTAATGAGGGTAATGATATGAATTTAAATAAAAGGGGTTTAATGCCTTTGTAGAAGTTAATGCTCCATAATCTTAGTAACTGATTTCATCTGGTGGTTTGGGGAGATGTTGTATTTTATTTCACTTAATTTACTACATAAAATTCATTCTAGAGTAGAATTTATTAGCTAGCTTGTTGATATTGGTAGTACTTTATCAAAGCTTAATATTACTTACCATGCAAAAAGATTTGAAGCAAGTATTAGACAAATATACGTATTCAGAGAAAAGTAGAGGAGAGAAAAGATTACATTATCTACAGACCAAACCAGTAACTGTGCTTGGATATTATCTAGTCTCCAGTTCCATTGGCAACTGAAACCAAAGAGTGACATCAGTCTTATTTAATAAACATTGCAGCTCCACAGGGGAGAAATTTAAACGAATGTGTCATAAGGATTGTTTTATAAGGGAAATTACAGTGTCTACAAAATTTCTAAAGAATAAATTGTTATTAATTATAGTCAGTTATTAGATACTGTCTTGCTATTTTCCAGATTTAGAAAAATAAATGAAACAACCACTCTGTCAGGCTTTGATCCGTTTTGATCCTTTGAAATCATGGGAGAAATCCAATCATTTTATTAAAACTAATTTATCTGCAAATATTCGTTTGTTAGTAAAAAATTATGCATGTAAATAAAGATGTTTTTATTTTCCTCTTAGGGTGTTTGCTTTGATGTTCCTACAACTGAGTCAGAAAGATTACAGGTATTTTAAAATTTGTGTTTTTAAACTTCGTTTCTCTAAAAAGGGGGGTTTCTTAATATAGATGCCTAATTTACCTTCTAGTTAGAATTTGCTTGTTATAGTTTACTCATAAAATGACAGAATTTTCCTAAGATTGATTTATTTCAATGAGTTAGAGGGAGATAAAGAGAGAGGAGCGGGTATTCCATCTGCTAGTTCACTTCCCATGTGGCTTTATCAGCCACAGCTAACCCCGGCAGTAGCCAGGAGTCAGGATCTTCATTAGATTGTCCCATGTACTTGCCAAGGGCCCAAACACTTGGGCCATCTTCTGCTTTTCTCAGGCCATTAGCAGGAAGCTAGACTGGAAGTGGTGCAGCGCGCACACCATCTGGCACTGCATATGGAATTCCAGTGTTGCATGCAGTGGTTTTACCTACCATGTCACAGTACTGACCACAAAATGATAGAATTTTGCCATGAACCCTCATGTGCCCATCACTGTTGTTCAGCAGTTTACAATTCATGGTCAGTTTTGTTTCATCTCTTGCTTCCATCTGGTTTCCCACTTTTCTGTATTATTCTTAAACAAATCCTAGCATTCTATCATTTGAATCACAAATATTTTCCATACTTAAGGAGCTTAAGAAAAGCCATGTCATAATACCGTAATTTGCGAAAATCATAACTCCTTAATATCATCTAATTTTATGTTTACATTTTCAATATTATCTCCTGAATATCTTTTAATAAAAGATCCATAAGGTCCATAAATTGTAATATTTTTTTAATGGAAAGTTAGATATACAGAGAGGAGGAGAGACAGAGAGAAAGATCTTCCATCTGATGATTCACTCCCCAAGTGAGCGCAACGGCCGATGCTATGCCGATCTGAAGCCAGGATCCAGGAACCTCTTCCAGGTCTCCCACGCAGGTGCAGGGTCCCAAGGCTTTGGGCTGTCCTTGACAGCTTTCTCAGGCCACAAGCAGGGAGCTGGATGGGAATTGGAGCTATTGGGACAAGAACCGTCGACCATATGGGATCCTGGTGCATTCCAGCGGAGGACTTTAGCCACTAGGCCACGCCGCCGGGCCCCATAAATTGTAATTTGATGTTTCTTAAGTCTCTTAATCCATAGGTTCTCTTTCCTTTCTCTTCCTTAAAAAAAAAAAATTGGGATTAGCATTGTGGTGTAGCGTTTAGCATAATGCTTAGGATTCCTGCATCTAATATCAGTGCACCTGGGTGAGTCCTGGCTCTGCTTCTGAGTCCAGATCCCTGCTAATCTATACCCTGGAAGTAGCAGGTGATGGCATAAGTGGTTGAGTCCAGGTCACCTTCACTAGGGGTCTGAATTCAGTTCTCAGGTCTTGGCTTCCACCTCGCCCAGTGTCAGCTGTTGCAGATATTTGGAAAGTGAGCCACTGGTGAGAGATCTCTGTCAGTCTTTTTCAATAAATTAGAAAAAAAAAAAAAGAAGGGGCCCGGTGCGGAGGCGCAGTGGTTAATGTCCTCGCCTTGCACGCCCAGGATCCCATATGGGCGCCGGTTCTAATCCCGGCAGCCCTGTTTCCCTTCCAGCTCCCTGCTTGTGGCCTGGGAAAGCAGCCGAGGACAGCCCAAAGCCTTGGGACCCTGCACCCACGTGGGAGACCTGGAAGAAGTTCCTGGATCCTGGCTTTGGATCGGCATAGCATCGGCCGTTGTGCTCACTTGGGGAGTGAATCATCGGACAGAAGATCTTTCTCTCTGTCTCTCTGTGCACTTCTGACATTTTGGTCACTAATGGTGTGTGTGGATGTTTATCTTTTCCCATCCTTATAAACAAGGTATCTGAATTCAGATTTCCTTGACAACTCACAATCGTAATGAATAGCAGTTAATGCAAGAAGATGTAAATGATTCTTTTATGAGCTACTGATTTGTGTCCTGAGTATTTACCAAATTGTGTTTATTGGTTACGTTATTTAGTGCTTGTAACCTCCATGGTCAGTCAGCTCTGTACTTCTTGGTATTATCTATAATTGTGCTGCTTACTAATGGTCTGTGTGCTGGGAAACCAGATAGTGCTCTCTTGTAGAATGTGTAAACTGGATGAATTTAGAATGTTGAAATGTACCTGGGAGTCTCTACTGGGACTAAAAGTTGGTGAATGAGCTACGAATATGTTTTTGTTTTATTTATTTCTTGGCTTCCATTTTTGTTCCAGACACTTTGGATTCAGTGGGATGGCTTTCTTAGGTGCTAGGTAGCGGCCATGAAAGGATCATCTCCTTTACTCCTTGCTTGCTGATACAGTCTATTTTGCCTTCATGTTCATCCTGTGAATTCTCCCAACAGGCAGAGTGGCATAATTCAGACTGGACACTCTCAGTACCAGCCAAATTACCTGAAATTGAAGAATATTATGATGGAAATACATCTTCTAATTCGAGACAGAGGAGTGGCTGGTCAGGAGGTCGGTCAGGCCGGTCAGGCCGGGCAGGTGGTCGATCTGGCCGGTCAGGACGACAGAGTCGACAGGGAAGTCGGTCAGGGAATCGACAAGATGGTAGAAGACGAAGTGGGAACCGAAATCGATCAAGAAGCGGGGGACACACACGGAATTTTGACTGAGTGTTTGATAATCTATCCATGTGAGCTTATCTATTTTCTGCCTAATCATGTATATTATCCATGAAAAATTAGATCATCACAGTTGAAGTATGTGTCTGCTATTTACAAAGAAGTTGGTCGTATTTTTTTAAAAAGTATTTCACAAGAATGGTTGTAAACAAATCTACTTATCCAGTTATACCTTTGAATAAAAAACTCCTTTTATTGTCTCTTTTTACTATGCATTAAGAATTTTCTAAATGTAATCTTTTAAAATTTCCTAAAACATGGCAGTTCGATTAATTTTACTAAGGTTGCTTCAATTTTGCAAAATGTGTTGTATTTATATTCAGATCATGCCTTCCATTGATCATATGGTAGGAAATATGAAATCTTGGTCTGCATTTATTAAAGGGTGGCAAAGTGGTGCTGTGGTTAATTAGGTATAGCATTTTATTTTAAGATTCATTTAGTTTTACATGAGAGAGATGGGGAGAGAGAAAGAGAGATCCTCTATCCACAGGTTCACTCTCCAAATGGCCACATCAGCCAGGGCTGGCCCAGTGTGAAGCTGAGAGCCTGGAGCTTCTTCCAGGTCTTTTATATGGGTGGCAGGGGCCCTAACTTGGGCCATCATCCATTACTTTCCAGTGCCATTAGCAAGAAGTTAGGTCAGAAGTAAGAAAGCAGAACTTGAACTGGTGCTCATGTAGGATGCCAGTGCTGCAGGCTGAAGATTAGCTTGCTATGTCGCTGTGTTGCCCCCTTTATGTTTCTTTAAGATTTGTTTTTATTAGTCAATCACACAATTTACCAAGCTCCACTATTCATTGGCTTTGAATACTGGCCTGATCTTCCTCTTCTGTCCTGACTTGTCTTCATTTAGGAGATGTCACTTTCCATGAAATACACTCATATAAAACCTAGCTATGCAGTTCCTTGACCACCTTAACTGAAATAACGATTGTCACCAATAAGCCTAGTGCTGTACCCCACATTTTCACATCTTCTGCTACATTGCAGCATTCTTGCAATCTCCAATTTAGAAAGCTCTAACAGGCCTTCAGCCCCTTGCCCCCTTAGATATTCTGTCTCCACCTTAATCCATAGATAGTCTCGATTAGTCCAATCATATTTTGCCAATATTCTAAGTATCTTTACCTTGGCATCCTTTCCTCTCACTCAGGGCAGAACCTGAACCCTGGGTCAGTCACCTGTCTCCCATTTTTATTTCTGCAACAGACTGGTAAATGCTGCTGTAAGAAATCACTTGGTGGCTGTTGCCAGCAGAAGTTCAATCTCTAACCTTTTATCTGAATAGGTGGAAATTCACCTGCAAAGCAATCATAATTTCCTCCTAGAAAATGATAACCCTTCCTCCCATATAAAGCTATAATCTTACGTGCTTATTCCCATCCCTCTGGGTCCCAAAGCGATTTTGCTCAGTGATGTCGTCCTTGTGAAACATCACAGTGTCTTCCCACTTGATTATGAGCATCTGTTCATCATGATTAAGCACATCCTGCTGCCCGTGCCCTCCCCATCACACACGGCAATCCTCACAATCTTCTGTTCTTTCACCTACCTCCACTTCTAGCTTATTTCAATTGATGGCCAGATTTCTGAAAAAGATGTTCATGTTTGTAGTCTCTACCTCTTTATCTCCTTTCTGCTGCATCCTCTGCTAAATGGCTGCTTTTCTTAGTACTCTAGTAATAGGAATCCTCCTTGTGTCAAAACTTACCTTTATGCCAGACCTAATGGTCATTTCAGATTCATCTCTTGGTTCCTCTAAACCTCATAGTTCTTGGCTTCCTGCCCCCTTCTCATCCCTTCTCAGTGAGTCCCTCTTTCTTCTTCCCTATTCTGAGTAGGACACTGACTCCAACTACATAACATGGGATGTTGAGGAAATGAACATCTTGGTAAGAAAGCTCAAAGGATTTATTTTAGGAAGAGTCAGAATTCAGTTAATCTGTGGATGGGGAAAGCTTTTCGATGCCACTTGGAAGGAGGAGAAAGATCTGATCAGCTGTGACTGGGGGAAGAACTTGGCTAACTCATCTGAGTATTCTGGCTCTAGATTTATACGCAAGGTGAAACAGGAACTCCATTCCTACTAAGTTGAAGTGTGGGTACTCGTACTCTTGGCCTATGTAGTGTTCAGGCAGGGGTTCAGAATCTAGTAAAAGATGGACACAGAAACCTAGGTACACAGCATGCCTAGCTGCAATGATTTGCAAGCTCTGGGCAAGAACACCAAGCTCATAAACGGGTGCAGGGATTCAAGAGCGCTTTTAATTTTCAAATCCATTTGAAATGCAGGACGAGAGTAACCAAGAGAGCACTTTGAAATACTGGTTTACTTTCCAAATGCCCACAGCAGCCAAGGCTGGGACAGGCCAAAGCCAGGAGCAAGGAGCTTCACCAAGTCTCCCATGTGAATGCAAGGGCTCAAGTATTTTTGCCATCCTCCGCTGCTTTCCCAGACAACTTAGCAGGAGTTATATTGGAAGTGGAGCATCTGGGACTGGACTCAAGTGGGATGCTGGCACCTTCTGTGGGCAGTGGCTTTACTCTTACACTACAGCACCAGCTAGCCAATGTGTTTCATTCCTTTCAATTCAGGCCTGGTAGAACAGACATCTAAGCAGAACTTCACATTTACTATCACATATATACTTTAAAGTTAATTTTTTTTTTTAAAGATCTAAGGAACACCTTATCTTTTTTATTATTATTATTTTAATTGGAAAGGTGGATATACAGAGAGGAGAGACAGAGAGGAAGATCTTCCGTCAGATGATTCACTTCCCAAGTGAGCGCAACGGCCGATGCTATGCCGATCTGAAGCCAGGAGCCTCTTCCGGGTCTCCCACGCGGGTGCAGGGTCCCAAAGCTTTGGGCCATCCTCAACTGCTTTCCTGGGCCACAGGCAGGGAGCTGGAAGGGAAACAGGGCTGCCGGGATTAGAACCGGCGCCCATATGGGATCCTGGACTTTAACCACTTGCGCCACCGCGCCGGGCCCTTTAAGTTAATTCTATTTGCTAATAAATTTTATGCTTACAACTAAGCTTAGTGTAATAATTTGATCACCTTTGAGCCAAAGGTCCTTCTGTGTCCTTGGAATTTTGGTTTGTGCTTTTTTTGTGTAGATGTATGTTTGCGGGGATAGTACAGGGACTGGCTCAGTGGCTCAATTGTCTTAACCTCCTCTTACAAGCGCTGGCATCCCACATGGGTACCGGTTCATGTCCTGGCTGTTCCACTTCCCATTCAGCTCCTGGCTTGTGACCTGGGAAAGCAGTGGAGGGTGCCCCAGGGTCTTGGGACCTTGCACTAGCATGGGAGTCCCAGAGGAAGCTCCTGGATCCTAGTTTTGGATCCAGCTAAACTCTAGGCATTACGGACATTTGGGAAGTGAACCAGTAGATGAAAGATCTCTCTTTGTCCCTGCTTTTCTTTGTAGAATTGCCTTTTCAATAAAAATAAATTTTTAAAAAACAACGAACATACTTCATAAGCCCTGACAGCAGTTTACCATAGAGCAGTGTTGTAGAATATTCTCTCTCACCTCTGTTTAATAAGCCTGTCTCTGTCTTGCGTGTAGCAGCATCACACAGGTGTGTGGTTTATCGAGCAGAGGCTTGGACTAAGCCTTCCCTTGGTACTGGAATTCTAGATGTTAGCACTTTGTTTGTCCATAGGTTCATTGCATCTATACTTCTGTTCCTCTTGCACCTAACCCCAGGATGACTGAAGCATTTTGCTGCCTGCACATACAGACACAATGTATTTCAAGAGCTTTTCCTCCATCATTGCCATGTTGATGTTTAATAAATACTGAGTTATAGATTACTTAGTATGTGTCAGACAAAAGCCTAAAATTTTAAAGACATAAAGATGGATATATCAAGTTTCCTGGCTCAAGTATATCACAATGTAAGTAGTAATTTACCTAAATGGCTAAAAAAAAAAAAAAAAGATTGAGATTATGAAACATCAAATAGTTTATCTGAAGCTAAAACTTATCATTAAGACTCAGATGAGAACCTAGCGTGATGGCTCAGTGGTTAAATCCTCACCTTGCATGCCCCAACATCCCATTTGGGCACTGGTTCGTGTCCAGGCTGCTCCACTTCCCATCCAGCTCCCTGCTTGTGGTCTGGGAAAGCAGTTGAGGTCGGCCTAAAGCCTTGGGACCCTGCACCAGCGTGGGAGTCCCAGAAGAGGCTCCTGGCTCCTGGTTCCTGGCTTTGGATAAGGCTCAGCTCCGATTGTTGTGACCACTCGGGGAGTGAACCAGTAGTTGGAAAATCTTTCTGTTTCTCCTCTCTGTATATCTGCCTTCCAAATAAATGAATAAATTTTAAAAACTCAGAAATGTGCAGTGAAAACTAATCTAAGAAATAAAATTGTTCCAGCATTTTCCTCTGTCCTAGAATGCAATATTTTGAATTGACTCTCCCAGTGGAGACATAGCTGTGAGCTTTAATAACTGTCATTTGTTGTGCTCAGTATGCCAGACACTGCCACACTCTTCATACACTGTTTAGTTTTCTGTTTATTTTGTTCATGACAAAAGCAGGTCTTCATATATAGCGGTATAAACCACTTTGTAAAATAGCATGATGAACTGTCTCCCACTGTGTTGGACCACCAGTTCTTTAGGAAAAGCTTAACATCGTCATTGATCATCCAATAGATCACTTTCCCCTCATCTTCCAAAAGTCACGCAGTGTCCAAATTATGCATGAGCAAGAACTGCTTTTATCGTCCATCGGGGTCTACACGGCCCCTCCTGTGGGTTCTAAAATAGGTCCTTCAGAGCCTTTACAGGACTGAAACCTACCGATCTCACACCAAGCACCTTGCAGACGGGGCTTGGTGCGGTCTGCGTGCTGTTTTCCACACTTGAAGTGGTGAATGCCCCAGATGCTGAAGGCACACATAAACCACTGAATCCTGGTGCTGACCCAGGCTCCTGGGTTTGGCGTCGTTTATTACTTTTCACGAGATGAAGAACGCAAATCCCTCGTGATTGTGGTAAAAGAACCCTGCAAATTCCAGCACCTTAATACAAAGCACTTAAGCGTCTGACAATCCACAATCAGGTTGTCTCCAGCGAGAATCTGGCCGGTGTCTGAGTGGGAATACGGTGCTACATGAAGTCCCTGCCGCCGTGTAGCGGTCATGTTACTAATTCCAGCCACTTGCAGTCTGGAATC